AATCTAGAAACCAATTTTCAAAAAAATTCGTTTTTTCTCCGAGTTTAATGAATTTGTATAAAATTGGTCCGAAAGTCCGGCCCGAAAATTCCTTGGGCCGAAATTCCGGTCTCCCTCGAACAAGATTGTAATATTTTCATCGACGGAAATCATGGTTTCCATTAAGTTTGATACAGTAAAAATGAGACTAAAAGATATCTTGAGGGTATGAATACGATTGGTTGTATGTCTGATAATATTATTCAAAGCCTTGCTAAATATACTAATTTCATGAATTAAATTGTAATAATTAATGAAGAGATAGTCTGTGAATATCTTATAAGGCATTTCTCCATGTCTTGCTTTGTCGTTGTATTTAATTGAGAATTACATTATTCGATAGAAACTAGACTGTAAGACATTTTGATATTCTTTCTTTTTCCTAATAATTAATTCGAAATTTCCCTGCTAGACGGAACAGAATTTTGTTTTTCGGAATTGCAATTTACTTTTTTACACTGCAACTATCGATATGATGGTCAAACTCCTAAAATAAGCTGCGAATAGTAAATATAATAGATGTGGTGAATGATTAAAAAATTTGAAATACATATTTTTTCTGCATACTGATCGAATTTAGGAGCTCTTGATATTTATATTCTATCGGATACTCATTCTCAGTCTTCTAGCGCTTGTCCAAATTTCAAGTATTTGGTAACGAGTAATCTATTGAAAGAGCCAGAGTAACTCTTCGGGCACATTCTAAATACTCAAGATCTATTAGAATCTATACTACTCCAAAAAAAGAAGTATTTAGGGAGCATAATTTTGAGTGCTCTAGTAGAAATAAATCTAACATAACAACACTCTCGACTGGTACGTTGAATCATTTAATTACATGCTGCTTTTTTAAAAACCAATTTTTAATAACCTTGCTAAAATTGTTTATGTTTGTGATATATTTTAGCTGAATTTTAGAATATTCTAATCAATATTCAGTATCAACTAATATAAACTAAGAACTATACTCATCATTATACTTGTTTGTAAAAAAGACTTCATAGCGTAGTATAACATTTCGACTTCTTGCATAAATTTTTAACCATTGAATGTAGTTCATCATCAGAGTTTCGCATAATTAACACATTCTATGGAACATGATGTGATTACATGTTTTCTTATCTAGGCTTCGTCCAGTGAACGTTTTTGAAAGTATCGAGGCAGATTTTTACAGCTTACCATGTCTACTTTTCTAATATTTCGCTTACAGAATATTTTAAATTAAATTGACACCTTTGTGTATTTATAAATTTTGAAAAAAAAATGTTTTTCTTGCCCTAGTCAAACAATTTCGTAAATAGAAGATAAAGTAATAAAATATACCAATCATGTGAAAACATATGGTTTTAATGAAAAAATACGACCATTGTTTCATAGGACCCTGTCGTAAAACGTTTTGCCATCTTTTTGCCAAAGAGCATGTTTTGAAAAACTTTCATCTCAAGAGATGTTCCATTCGGAGTTCTGTTCATCATATACGTATATCAGCGATGAATATCAGTGAAACAAATTTGACCTTGCTAGTAATCGAACTAGCCAACAAAGAAATAGTAACGAGATTATGAGTGCAACAAAAAATTTTCAAATAACAAACCATGATGTAGGCAGATATATCCACATTAATATAGTTGCAGGCAGTATTCTCAAAGAAAGACCATGGTGATTGAAATTTCAGCAGATATGATTTCATATACTTGAATTCACACTTAACTGTCTTGACATATCGCGTCATCGGAGTTGTTTTTTTTTCAGAATTCGAGAAACAAATAGAGGTTGGTTTTATCATACATTAACTGTGATATTCCTTGTAGGAGAGTCTGATCTAGAGTGATCATTTCAGAAATTAACAATTCAAAACTGAAAAAAAGCTATTTTTGTCAATGAACTCGCAAGTTTTGTGGTGATATAACGATCGTTAATTATTGTGCATGTTGCAATGATACTGTAAATCGTAGATTATTTTTTACAGCTCATCATATACAGAACAATAGTAAATAGGTATTATCAAGTATAATCTTCAATAGGTGAATCATTCCGATATACGAAGAATGCATTTCTTCAAGGTCAATAATCGTTTAGACTAGTAATATTTTCAGAGAGAATAAAATCGAAAAACAAATCTTTTCGTGTGTTATGGTGTAGTAGACAATATTTAAAAAACAGAGAGAAAACGATAAAGTCAGCGCTTATCGTATTTATGATGTTGACAACCACTAAAAAACGATTTTACGTTTTCATTTTTACTTACATATCTAAGCAGATGAGAACAAAACTTCTATAGATATCTATGTGTACACGATTAGGAGAGGTTTTTGGATGCAATATTAAATATAATATTTTGTATTCTAGTAGTTTTCTTTTTCTGTAGACTAGCAACCATCTGAGAGTCAGTTGATGCCGTCTCACTATTGGGGAGATAAATAAAACGAACAACAATTTTACCAACAAACATAGTACGTTTTCATTAAATAGAGATAAGGGTACAGAGAAAATAACCACATAAAAGGTGTTGCAATAAAGAAAAACTGATAAAACACGAATCAGATCTCTTTCATTTTTTAACCGCAAGACACAAGGTAAATTTCAAAACATCTTTTACAAGCTTCGAAAATTACTGAAAAAGATGAAAGAGGAATTAAATACTTAGAAATAAATACGATGCTCACAATAATGGATAGTTTTCGAACGAGTAGTTCACTAGAAAATGCTTACACGTATAGAATTAAGGTAGATATTTGATTGAATACGTTCATATTATACTTATTTGTAGTTCTTTTGGTTGCGAATGACACAGCTGCTGAGTTTTCGACAATATAACTAAGCTAAGAGAGCTTAGACTTGCTCGTCCAAAAAAATGTATTCCGGAGTCTCGAGCACATTTAGCTGACTTTAAAAAAAGCTGAACTATCATTTCAAAATGTCGCAGTCGAACGAGAAAAAAACTGAGATCGATCTATGACGACTGCATCGTGAGTCTATCAGCTTCACTGTAAGTCTATCTGTAGTGTTCAACCAATTCTACTGGATTTATGTAATCTGTTTTCATTTGACCCATTGAATTAATTAATAATTTCAAACACGGTCGTTTTGTAAACTTCTATTAAAATCAATGTATTCTGTTAGAAGCAGCATTATCAGTTGATTTATTTATCTTTTAGAGTTTATACTTCAAAAACTTGTTTTAACAAATGGATCTTGAATACACGGTAACAGAAACCTTGACATCTTTAGGTGGTAGAGTCAGCGAGATCAATTATGAATTCGAAGAAATTACCGTGGAAGCTATTTCACTTGGATTAAGCACGAAAAGAGAACGTCGTGCTCGAGCATATAGCGCTCGGATTTCACGTGACCAGTATGCTGCGTTAAGTCGAGCAATGTCGGTTTCGCTATCATTCGACGATTTTGTTCAAGTTTTACGTCCATTTATGATGGGATTTTATAGAAATCGTGAATTGGAACAAGCGTTTGGTATATTAGATAGAGATCATTCTGGTTTGGTTCATATAGATGAATTAAATGTATTTTTACCAATTATTAATCAATATGCCACTGGTGACACCTTAAAATCTTATGTGCGAAAAGTCTATTCGAATATTGAAAATAATTTAACTTACGATGAGTTTCGCACATTAATATTGCGAGGCATTGGTCGCGATATTCTTTGTAATAACATCTGAGTTTGACTAAAACTTATATCTTGCACAAACAAAAAGACATGCCTGCTGTTTTTTTCAAAGCGCTTTTTCTATCTAAAACTTTTAAAGATTCGTCTTTAATTTGTAATAATATCCTTTTAGAAAATAAATTAAGAATAAATAATTCAGCGTTATCAATTTTATATCAGTGCTTTCTTGGTGGTCTGAATCAATCACTAATACAAACGATTGACAAAAAGATTTATTTTCAATTTCAACATTCTGTACTTTGTCAATTCATAATAGGTAATCATATCAGTAGTCATAGTTTGTGTTTAAAATAATAAATGTGTCTAATTCAAGGTTGGCCGTAGAAAGGCCGAAAGGAAAAATATCGAAAGGAAAAATGTCGAAAACAGAAAAGATAGAAAAAAGCGACGTCTACTAAATGAAGGTTCTAATAGTTTATTGTTCATTGTTGTTGATCTGATTATTCCATTGGTTTGACAATGATAACCCTTGATACTATTGAATAAGTGATATCTTATGAAAACTAGCTAAAATAGGCGTAAAATAGTATACAACGATTAAAATTCTATCATGATGACTGCAGCTTGCTCATTTTTATCTGGTGAGAATCATCCGCCAACTCCAGTTATTTCATTTATTCAGTCGTAAAAAGGAAAACCTTTCCTTGTATCAGATAAATATATTTTCAAACTGAATACAACAGCAACAACTAGTAAATATTGGATATGTGTATTTTTCTTTATAACTCTTATTTATCTATGATCTATGCTATGATGCTATTATGATTTCAAGAATAAAAACATCTTAGTGCAAATTTTCTATATTTTTCCCTTTCGATATTTTTCCTTTCGACATTTTTCCTTTCGGTCTTTCTACGGCACACCTAATTCAACATGTCATCGAAAGTATTTACAGGTGAGACGAAAAAGAAAATCGCTATTTTCGGAAAAAAATGATAGGAAACGATAAACTTACTCTTGTTTTGTAAAATATCAATATGCGTTCATGACAAGAAAAGCTTGATATACGGTGTGAAATTGCATTATCTATTACTTCTCACTTCTCGATACATAGTTTGACGGCTAGATGAAAATCTCGATTGTGTAGTAATTATCGTTTTCTATCATCATCATCATGTATGAATTTGCACTAGTGTTTAGCAACATTTCCCTATTGATAATTAACGCAGAAATATATGGGCTACAATTCCTCGTCAATTTTCATCCGTAGTTGTTATTCACAACTGCCAATAGATGGAATCCAGGATGTTGTCTCTTCGATGACGTCAGATATTCGTATATAATATTGTGCAGTATAGTTTATTTATCGATGAACATAGTGAATGACGGTGCAACATACATGCTGAACAAAGACTAGATTTTCTAAAATAAAATTCAGATACTCTCATAATCAGTCATATCTCTTGGCAATTCTAATTGATATGAGTGCATTCATTTGACTACAATCATGATCAGAAGATGTCAATTATGACTTATTCATAGGCAACTCATTTATTTAGAATGATCCTTTTAATTAATGTGTCTCACAAAAGCTTTGCATTTTTTAGTCTTTTTCTACAATGACATGCCACCGAAACATTGACACCGATGTCAAACTGTAGCTCAACCTTCGATGATACGTCTATTACTTGCGTCTTTTTAAATGATGAAGAAGTTTTCAAAGTATGATAGTAGACAACACGACCCTTTTTTCAACATTTAAGTCCAATAACTGCTTGCTTTTGCTGTGGCTCTACCGTTTATTCTCGTCATTTTCAAAAAGAAATGTTATCTATCGAAGGGGATACATGATTATGTTCGAAAAATCTTATGCACAATTTTGACCAAGCATAAATCATTTTAGCGGGGCAGACCTATTAGCAGCAACGCTTTCTAGCGAACTAATATAGTACCAAGTCGGATATCGTTACTCATTTCAGGTCTTAAAAGAATTAAAATAAACTATTTGAAAGAATTTTTAATTTAACTTTTCTAGCATTAGTTCGGCGAGACCAAATGACAAGTATGAGTTTCATGCATCAATCTCAAAGATATTACGCTTACCATCACTCGTATTACTCTTGTTCATCTTGATATAGCTAGAAGTGTCGAAATGACAATCTGATTCTCTGTAAATGTATTTTCATCTTAAGCTATTCAACATTGCTTTGTATAGAACTTAAGTTAGTTGGAAATTTTAAATGCTTCGACAATTGTAGATTTGTGCATACTTTATGATGTTTTATTTTTCAATCGTCAGTGAAGCTTTACTTCAGGCAGTAGAAAAAGCAACCGTTGGCTTATTTCATTCGTATTTTTTTTTTCAAGCAAACATGTATTATACGATTGGAGCTGCTTGGCGATGTCAGAATGATGAAAAATCAATAGTTAAGAAGAAAAGAAAAACAGAACGAATGAATCATATAGGAGACTTGTGGAGCAAAAGTGCGATCAACAAGCGAGATGAAAGAGAACGAGTTTGTTATATTTTTTGGTGAATATAACGATGAAATGTTGTTGCTGCTTCCAATGTAAGATTTATTTTAAAATGTGGTTGATTTTGTGAGCGTCACATTGCAATTGAAACAGTTACCGATTGACAGCTATCAGACCAAAAAGATGACCAATCAACCAGGAAACCCGAATATGAGAATGCTAATTCCTATGATAAATGAATTGCAACGCATTTTTACTTTAGTCAATACTCGGTTGTCATTGACATTACCTCAAATAGCAGTTGTCGGCTCGCAATCAGCAGGCAAGAGTTCTGTACTTGAAAATATTGTTGGTAGAGATTTTCTACCACGTGGTGGTAGTATGGTGACGAAACGACCTCTAGTTTTACAATTGGTTACATCACATGAACCAGAATATGGTGTTTTTGCGCATAAACCACATCAAAGATTTACGAACTACGCAGATATTCGTCAAGAAATCGAAAATGATACCAAAGTAGTAGTTCGTGATAACATCGGTGTCTCTAATATGCCAATCAACCTGACAATTTATTCGCCTCATGTTGTCAATCTTACACTGGTCGACTTACCCGGTATAGTCAAAGTTCCTTCACAAGGCCAACCGTTCGATATTTGCAAAAAGATTGATGATATTATTCTCGAATATATTAGTCATGAAAATTGTCTCATTCTAGCTGTAACACCAGCTAATATCGATATCGTCACATCCGACGCTTTGGTAATGGCTCGTAGCAAGGATCCAATGGGGAAACGAACCATCGGTGTATTGACGAAACTGGATATGATGGGTCGAGGTCATAATGCACGTGATGTATTGTTAAATAAAGTTGTTGTACTTGAAAGAGGTTTTATTGGTGTTGTTCTTCGTGGTCAACGTGTCGATGAGCATGGCCGGACAATGCGAGAATTGGATATACCAGCTGCGCTCGAATTCGAACGTCAATTTTTTCTTAATGATCCAGCTTATCATGATATTACAGATCGATTGGGTGTGCCATATTTACAACGCACACTTAGTATTCAACTAACTGAACACATTCTTAAGTGTTTGCCAGATCTAAAACGAGAACTACAAGAACGTCACCGTAATTTGGCTCGAGAAGTATCCGAATATAGTAAATCTGCTATGCTCGAAGGTGCTGGTTTCGATACAAAAGCTTTAGTAATATTAACACATGAATTCCAAGAAGATTTCGATGCAGCATTAAAAGGAACTCATTTGAAAGATTCCGATTTAAAGACGTTGACAGGTGGAGCTCGTATAGCTACCATCTTTAAATATCGTTTTCCATCTGAACTGGCTAAAGTAGATCTTCAAGACAAAGATATGCGCGGCCAGTTAATTTTAGCGATTAAAAATATTCGCGGTTTTCGATCTGGTCTGTTTACACCAGATGAAGCATTTGAATATATTGTTAAAATGCAAATAGCCAAATTTGAAGAACCTATTATTAAATGTGTTGATATGGTAGTCGCTGATTTGAAGAGAATTATTCATGAGGTATCCACTAAATTGAAACGTTATCCATTCCTGCAACGAGTCGTCGAAGAATTGCTGATTCAGCAATTAAAAGAACGGGAATTTACTACAAAGGAAGCCTGTAATCTTTATGTTCAAACACAGTTGGCGTATATCAATACGACAAATGAAGATTTTATTGGATTTAGTAACGCCGAAAGATCTGCCAATACAAACGATGCAAATCGAAGTATTTCGAATCAGATCATTCGTAAAGGATTCCTTCGTGTGCATACGGGTGGAAAAATATTTCAATCAAAAGATTATTTTTTTATTTTATCAACAGATAATCTATCGTGGTATAGTGACTCTGATGAGCGAGAAAAGAAATATATGTTACATTTAGAAAATCTCAGACGGCGCGATACTGAAAGTGGTTTTATTGCCAAACGACCACAGTTAACATTATACACTGAAGATGGAAGAAATGTTTATAAAGAACACAGAGTACTCGATCTTTCAGCAGAAAATAAAGAAGAAATGGAAAGCTGGAAAGAAGCATTCTCTCGTGCAGGTGTCTATTCTGACCGTATGCAACGCGCCGATACTATAACGACATCGACAGATGGAGCTCCTAGTGATCCACATATGGAACGTCAAGTAGAAACCATTAATATTTTGGTAACATCATATATGAAAATTATTACGAAAATGACGCGTGATTTCATTCCGAAAACTATTGTGTGTAACATTGTTCAAGAACTCCGGAAATATATTACAAGAGAATTATTAGTCAATCTCTATGCTGTTCCAGATTCAAAGACACTCTTGCAAGAATCAGCCGAAGAACGACAGCGTCGTGCGGCGAAAATTTCAGAATTCGAGGCAGTCAAAAGTGCACTGGATATTATAGAAAAGTTCTATATGAATGCGCGTACATTATCTACAGTTGCTATGCCATCAACACTAGGAAACGTTAGTTTTTCAAATACAACAATTAACAATCATATAGGACATTTATCAAACGTACCGATGAGCCAGGTTGACAGCTCCATTAACACTTATACTAATCGTTCTTCTGTCCATCGTACTCAGTCAAATCAACCAGCGTGGAATTCCTTTGGAACGCATGCTAACCATCAATCAACTGCACCATCGACTCCACCTGTTCCTTCGCACATCCATGGATCAGCGACACGACCAGTACCTTCAACACCACCGCGGTCACTGCCACCTGTTCCGCCGCGACCATACAATGGGTCACCATTTTCATAACTAATTTGACATCAAGCAATGATTATATCTAAGAGAAATGACACTTAAATGTTGCTATTGTGTTCATATATTATTTTTCTACTAAATGTATACCTTTAATTTCACAATTAAAACAAATCGTCAGTCTTCGAAAAGTTGAAGGAAGAAAAATGATTTGACAAAATAGACAGCATTGTTTCGATCAGATATTAGAGTAGCAATAAAAACTTGACTCAAAGAAAGCATGCACGATAAAATAAAAATGAACTAGTCGCTTGTACGATACAGTACGTTCTGACTATGATCTCTATCGATGTATACTGGAGCAAGGTGTGAAATATCTGCATGAATTCAATCGAACATGATTCTACTAATGTTTCTTTTTCTACAAGCATTTCAATTTATGATTAACTGGAAAATTTTTGAAATTATAATTGTTAATGTAAATAATGATTTATTTTAAATCGGAAATTGTATCACTGCGAACATTGTATTTAAGAAAAATTCTTCTTATTGAGAAGATATGTTTCGATGAGATTAGCATAAAAGGGGCATTTGAATATTAAGCAGGTGTTACCATACATGAGAGTTAATTTCTAACTCCGTTTACTCGATGCTTAATCACGTTGTTTTAGACCAAACGAATAATGTCTACAAATACGACGATGAAATACCTGTATATAATAAGAATATCTCCTGGAAAAAATCACATAGTATATTGGGCTATCGCTTCTACAGCACTATAGTCATTAATATGGGCTGAATTAAAACGTGAGCAAATACTGTGGTCTTAGTGAAGTATTGAAGGATTTTGTGCTGTGTCATGTAGACAATTGATACATGTATAATTAGATTTTGTCTTTGAAGAAAAAGATTTTGTTTTTGTTTGGCAGTCTTCCTACTGGTATGATAAGTTGTCGCTTTTTGATTCCATTTGTTTTGAGTATATGCTATACAGTTAAGTAATACTATTACTGGTGAGGATAAAAAAAATCTCGAAGTAACTACAGCTGTATTTGCTTCGAAGTCAACATTTCATAGTTCAATTACGATGTAATTTGCCAGAGAATTTTTATTTTTGACTTTCTCAAGCTTTTCCGGATAGATGGTTTGTAAATCTAAAATACAGAGGGTGAAAGAAAAAATGCATGATATTGTTTTCTTTACATTTCAAATAGCTCATCGATAGTTTTAAGATAGTACTTGCTGCCTCAGAAGCAATCTCACCGGTGAAACCATAATAACCTCTAAAACAAACAATAATAGCCGAAACAGTATCGATTTCGATGAAAAGTATCATATTGAGTTCAAGAAAACTGTTTATAATTAGTGTTCAACAAATGATTTCATCGAATTGGCGATTGAATTAATAAAAGCTCATAAACTTTCTGATATGTAAAACATTGAGTCTAACAGCTAATCAAATTGTAAAGGTTTGTGTTTCAAACTTTAAGTTTAAACTTTTTCTGGTAGTCTGACAAACGATTGCATCTCCATCCACTGTAACATAGCTGAATGATTATTGACATAATACTCCATTGACAGAATAAATACCAGTAGAGAACGTGATATTCAGATAAATAATCATGTTGAAAGGCCTTGCCTTTCTTCTCGTAGGTTAATTACGATTTCAGCACTTCTATCTTTCGATTGCATAAATTCAACGTTTTAAGTTAATGAAACAATAAGATAGTTAAATTAATATTTCCTCAGACAATCAATCGTGATCTAATTGAACTCGGAAGAAAAATGTTTGCGTATATATGTATATTATGAAAAAACAAGTTGAATAGGATACCGTCTTCAAAAGTTGTAGAACTTTTCATCAACATAGCCCACCGTATCTTGAATAAAAAAGGACATTCGAAGAGAACTTTTGAAGAGTTTCATAGATTGATCCACAATATATTTGCAATGAGCATACGCGTGTGAATTCAAAGAAAACAGTGTTATCCTTAGAGAACAACTTACTATTTAGACTCTATTATTCAATGAATTTTCAATCATGTGATCAAAAATACGATAATAGAATATTTACGTCTATCCCTAAGATATAAAAGTTAATGAAAGCAAGCCAATCTTGCCGCTGAATATTATTTATTGAAATAATACTTTATTGACGCTCAATGTATCAATTTTAGTCTTAACCATCTTCTCAGCATTCATCAGTTGAAACATTTCTTATGAGAAAAATTTTGAACGACCGTGGAAACATAGCAATTTGGATAGAGTGGGAAAAAGTGATTTTCGTCTTCCATATTGCTCAAGGGACCGTTGACTGATGATGATGTTTGAATTAATGCCAAAAATAAAAATGCTACCAAATATAATAATAAATATGTAAGAAATTCGGATTCAAAGATGGCTATATATGAATCATATAGAAGCCAAATGCCACGCCAAAGAAAGACACACGAAACAAATGCCAATAGGTGACGTACATTACGATAGAGTTGAGGAAAATTAATTGAAATGAACGTCCAAAATTCAAATTTTAAATTTAAATATTCAAGATAGTTTTGAAAATACATCAAAGGAAAATATAGAACGTAGCCCATTAATAAACAGATCCATGCTGATTTGTCACTATCATCAGGATACAGACATTCATCGAGAAAATGATAAAAACCACGCCAAGTAACAATTGCTATATTCGAAATTATCACTTCATATAAAAAATAATTTATCAAATTAATTTTCCACGAAGACATCTCAAAAGAGCCATAGTCAATTTATTAGAAAAGACAAAAAAATAAACATACCTGTCGAGTAAGCAATGGGCAACCGAACTGTATGCAATATTCGATGCTATCATAACTAACGAGAAATGGTGCACAAACAAGATCTGACAAGTGTCCAATCAATACAATTAATCCAAGAAGTGATGTCAATGAAAGAACTAACTCAAAATACCATTCATGAGGCGTATACTGGTCCCAAACTGTCCATATCACCACCCATTGAACTATGTAAATTGATGCTAATAGAAGAATATGCACTTTCAAAAGAATTAATCGAATAAAACAATTCCGCCTCTTTAAAAACCTATACAATAAATCTTGACCAAGATACAAAACAAGAAGAAGAATTTGAACTATAGCATATGGAATGAGCAAGATATGTATCGGATAATGAGTAAAGTCGTCTTCGGATATGGTATGAATTTCTCGTGTTAGTGAACGCGTATTTACTGTATTTAGCAGAATCCAAACAACATTCCATCCACATTCCCAGAAAAGAACCAGAACTGGAAGTAAAATCAATGCGACAATAATTGGCTCGACAATGCGTAAGATTTGACGGTGCCGTTGATAGTGTTTTCTTCCACGAGGATCCACATGAATCAACGTTAATCGTCCGTTATCATCGTCGTCTAACGAATAATTACCTTCTGAAATGATGGAAAAACGTCGGTCACGAATAGATCCATCATGATTTTCGCCTGGACTCAGAAAAAATCGTTGTTTTAAGTCAGCACCCGATGGTGGTACCCGTTCTTGACTACGATATTCAGCACCGTATGGTATAGTTCTCTGAGAAGCAGTGGATAATCGACGTGGCATGTTGATTGACGTATTTCGAAGGCGATTGAACTCTGAAGTTTCTTCAATCGCAAAAGTTGGCATAGATATTGTTTGCCGACCAAGATACGATTGTTGTGCATGTTCACTGTTGTTTGCCATTTTTCTTCACTTTATTCATCAACAGATTTTACCTTTGCGAACAAAGATTGTGTTTCGTATCTCTCGCAGAAGCATAGCTTCTGTTTCTTTCGTCTCACTGCTTATCATAAGTCGTTGACGTCACACACACACACACCAAAACATATTTTTTTCTCTATGTCATGACTCCTATCATCTGTGTAGTCCCATCATATTAGATTGCGAGTTGTTATGGGAATCGGACGGTTTGATTTTGACAGGTTGCGCATCTCTATTTTTCCTTATCTATTTTTTTTCAAAAACCTATACGATGACCTGGATGGGCTTGAAACCGATAACTAATATCGGACTTGTTGATTTCTCGGGTTTATGATTTGTTTTTCGAATACTGGAATGAATGTACTTTTGCTAATTTTCATAGTTTGAACGTTTTAAAAACGAAAACAGAGTAAAAATTTCGAAGATATTTATTGCTAAGCAGTATCAGAACTACAGTTTCAAGTTGTGGCATGGCATTTCCATTGCAAAGTTAATGTCTGTATAAGCAAAATGAATATTTTTTATAATAACTGAGAAAGAGTAGCATATGAATGTAGAAGCTAAACACTTTCTAGACTCAATATGATAAATCATAAAATATTCAAGTTTATTTCAGCGCTGTTGTCCATCTAATTTCAAAAATTCTCAAGATCTTTACCAGCTCTCAACTCTTGTTGTAATACAAACCAAAATGATATTATTTTCATATGAAAGCTTTAGCATTTTCTAATATCTGATACTTTCAATAAACACTTGTGTGCGAAATAGAAATAAATTTATAGAAAAGACACTGAATTCTACTAAAATTCTAGACCCTGACTTCGATATAGTTTTCCTATCTTTAACAATAGCTAGACGAAAGTAAATTTAATTAAGTAAACATACTACTTATGGTGAATTTTCCACACATTTATAAACGTATCAAGCTCTAAATCAATATTATTTATTATGAATCATCATTGTTGATTTATATCAAAAAAAAGGCAAAGAAATATACATCGATCAGTATCGAATCCGTATCTTGCATGTCCGTTTTCAATTTCTTGTTTTCAAATATTTTTATACGCACCATAATTATGTGTCAATAGCAATAGTGAAATAAATGACCAATAATGCATTTTATCTTTTATTGTGTACTCCAAAAAAATGAGTACACTCTAGATTCGGTCAGTGTGTCCGGCCGTTAACACGATAACTTTTGAAAGCCTCATCCAATTGTCATGAAATTTTGTACACAGAATGATCTCATCAATATCTCAGTCGAGTTCGAAGATGAAAGCAATCTGTGAAGAAATGGCTGAGTTATCGAAAAAGTTGTCATTATTAACCAGACCATCCCTGAGGGGGGGTACAGGAATTTTTTCAAAAAAAAATTTTTTTTCTCAGAATTATTCAAAACATATATAAATCGACTCAGTTTTTGCAGTACACATAACAATCGGATACGAATCCGATGTTTCCTCATTTATTTGTTTTATCTTTTAAATTTCTTTCGTTAACTTGCATGTTTGTTAGCTCTATTCTATTGTCATCCGATGAAAACAGAAATAAAAATCCTATTTGTGGGCAACCAAATTGATTAAATGAAGAGTGTGTTGAGTTCATAGAGAATAGTAGTGTTATGAAAAATTGGGAAAAACTTCAACATTTAAAAGAACTCCTGTAATTTTCATGAGAGATGTATGAACTTACTTTATTTATCAATGTTTGAATTCAATTTATTATTCTGATTAATAGTTTAAAACCAAAGATGTTCATTGTAGAGTTTAATATGAGGAAAAAATGTTTATCTTCAAATTGATTCGTGTCGGCTTGATATGAATTTTGACGATAGAGTTGTTGATTACCGAAGTTAGCAAAAAAATGATTCATAATTACTCAAGCAACATTTATCATCCTGAATCTTCGTAAAATTTTTCATAGGATCAGATGTGTAGCATATGATGAATAAATAATAGCATGAATCAATGATGGATCATGCCTTATCAATGCTGGTCTTAAATATTGAAATTTGCTATGAAGTCGCTATTAAAGTTTTCTAAAGCTTGGCGGTATTATCATCCTTCCATAGGAAAATACTTTTCTGCTGTATTTGAACTATCCAGTGTGTGACCAAAATATCCAACTTTACCCCTATTCATGTATGGTCTTCACTGTTTTGACGCTGTGATGCTAATACGACATGATGTGAGTTTTGATTAAAAAAAGTATAGACCAAGCATTTTTTTAATACTGCTACACACTGGTAGTACAAATAAAATAATATTTTCGTGTTTTACTATCGATGAGAACATTGACATATGTTAATTAGTTCTATTTCAAGCTCCATTTGCTATTGCACAGTGTTATTTTGTAACGGCAAGTATTAGCAAGGAGCTTGTTTGTGAAGCACAGGAACAAATCGTTCAACCATTCTTTAATGTTCTGTGTTTTGGAATCTATGCGGTAACGAAATTTGTCTCATATACTAACATCTACTATTTTTCTACTACTTTTAGACTTCATTCTATTGTTACTTTATAGTATCGAAACGTTTTCGTGATCAAGTTATCAATGCGATTTGGCTTGGTCATCAACGGAGAAATCGAGTACAATCATGAAAAACAAAATCATCAAGCAAAAGTCATGTGAATACCACACCTGGTAATTATATTTTTATTTGTGCTTCTGATTTTTCGCAACGAACGTGTCTATAATAAGACTAGAATTTTAATAAATATTACCGATATGAAAAACATACACGTTCTCACTTTCTATTCGATAGTTGAAGTCGTTTTTCTTCTGAATGATTTTATACATGCTCGATCACTGTATTGAAAGAGAACAGATGTTATTGGAACAAACCGGAGGACACATTGTATTTTTCAAAGCGTGCAAGAGATAATCGAATCATGTGTGCATTGAGAGAGATGAATTATGCAATCATATACATTGAAGAAGTAACGTAACATTTTCGGCTCATTTCCTACGACTAGTCAGTCATTTTAACAGATATTGATATCAGTCTAGGAAAGCTATTTCGTTTCAATTGTTGTAAACAATTACCAGTCGTAGTCTTATTGAATGTTTATTGTGTGTTAATAGGAAACTTTTACGATTTTATGATTCATCCACCTTTTCAACTGTTTCAATACAAAAAAAAACTGTTACTAATTTTCTTTCGCTATGGTCAATCATATTGATTAGACGAATGTGAATATTGTTGTAAATAAATATGTTCATTATGGTCTCATTAAAAATGAGTATTGAGTATAAATGACGTAAATTTATTAGATACCGATCATAATTTCACTTCAAAAGTTTGTTAACTTTCATTATAATTGATCTGCATGAAAGTAAACCATAGTTTATGGCATCTATTTGAATAGAAAGTTATATATCTCAACATTCTTATTGATTAAATATAGAGAAAGTTGTATGTCACGAAAGCATGTTTATGCGTATTATACACTGTTCAAAAAGGCAAGATGATAAAGTTAGAAAACGAAAAATTAAAGCAGAACGATCTGAGTAGTTATTTTTGCTCTCTTTCATTGTAACTATTATTTCATAAATCCTGCTGTAATAGCAGCAAAAAAGTTCAGGATTATTGCAACAATTCCAATGATCGCAGCAGCGCCCAACTTTAAATTCTGTATTGGTAGATTACGATGATGAACATCGATGCCAATGCCAATGCCAATAACACCCATAACAAGGCAGACAATAACAAGCCCCTTGGCTGCCAAGAGCATAGTTTTAGATGTGTTGTCACCTGTCACTGCACATACCAAAAGACATATTGTAGAAATACCAGAAAAAATACAAGCTAGCGTAACAAAAGCTCTAGCGGCTAAACGTTTGCCGCAGTCATTATTCATATCATTGCTCGACGAGCATTCGATATCATGACATTCCTTGTGACCATCAGTCGAACGGCATCTTTTCCACAGACCAATTGTAGATTCCGTATCTTCAATGTTCACTTTACTCCTAAAAGAAATAATGCACAAGGCTTTGTAAGATTCATTTTGTTTTAATTAGTGATTTTCTGAAAGCTTTCAGTTCTAAAGTAATATTCGATTTGTTTGTTAAAATTATCCATCTTCCAAAAAATATAGCTACGAAGATTTTTACGTACCATATTGGAACTGCATTGCTAACAGTAAAAAATATGAAACTGATTCCTACGAGTACCCCAGCAGTGATGGCTAACAATCGAAGATTCAATGACATGCTCGGCCAGTGTTATTAATGATGCTTGACACAGTTTAATTTCTAAACGATGAAAGAACCTTATATACTAATACAGTATCACTTACTCATATTGATTAGGAATACTTTGGAGAAAAAGAAGATATGTGCAAATATTAGTTCAGCTAACTGATCTTAAGTGCCACTTTTTTGCTGCATAATTTTAAAATCTAATACAATCAAACTTCTACAATTGCTATGTAGTCGGCATTTCTGTTATCAGATGGATTTGTTTTTATTACTAATTGATTGCTAAACGCGACAGGAGCCCGGCAACGAACCAATTCGTATAGATTGCTGAGGAGTCATACATTCTTCTACGGGTACAAGACAGTAATCTTCATAGCACTTATTCGGTTCAATCCTCATCATGAAGATATATTTATGCATACAGTTATAGGAATCGACTAACAAGAAAAGTCTTTCTATAAAAAGAAAAATATGTGTCACACTTAAATATACTGTGGAATCTATTATTGCCTATGAAATCCGACATAAATAAAAAAAACCTGAAAACATTCATTCAAAACATTAGTCTCAAAAACTTGTAAGAGTAAGAATTTTTCTGTCGAATTGTCAAGTTACACAGAAATATATCTTCTTTTTTTCCAAAAAGCAATTTAGGAGAAAACTTCTATACATGTGAACCCTTTTTCAAAAACGAATCAAACACTCAACGACAAAACACTTCTACAAAAATTTCTTAAGATATCAAAAAGGACTAACAAGCGCATACGTCAACATGCAGCAGATCAGTGGATCTAGCACTAGTACCTTTCATAAAATTCTATAGATCTATTCTCGTCTTATGTGCAGTAAAAATTTTCAAAGCGAAATTTTCCTTATACAGAACCTTTTCACAAAATGAAAAACTGCTTTAGGTATCAATCTGAATCTGCATAAAACACAGATCTACGGAACTCGTTGTGCGTAACTTATTCAAATGATATGAGCTCCTACAAGGATTCGTACACAAAAGCAACAGTTCGAAAAACAAACTCCTTCTCAAGGCCAAAAATAATCGCTCATGATGAACAAATAAATAATGCGACTGTCACTGCAAAAAGCATTGCTCTTTTTATTAGAACTAATGAGAATTTTACTTCGTATATCGCATTAGACGAATTGCTCTTTATTCTACTGTAAGCATAATAAAACATGCTTTTGTATCTTGCTTCCTACATAAAAGTAAAATTTTAAAAAACTCAGGCTTCGCCAATAAGAGGTTCAAATATCTTATTTGCCAATATTCATTTTATGCCTTTTCCTATTTCTCATAATTTTTCCTGAAAACTATGTGTCATATAGATTAAATACTTACGGTGTGGCTGTTTATAATAAAAAAAAACTTGGATTGTTTCTCCAACGTAACATCATGTATTTACAGTGTTTAACATTTTTACATATACTTTTTAGCACATACCATATTTTTATCACACATACTATGATATAATTGTCAATCAGGCATAGGAGAAATATAATACTGAATTTTTTCGTAGAGGAATGTAATTTAATTGCTTATTAAATTTCATATTTAAGTAAAAGAACGTGTTTCATTCAGATATTTTCCTCATTTCCTGCAATCAACAGACGAATATCAGTGTCGGAAAAAAAATAGTTGTTTACCATTATTAAAACTAATTAAAAGTGTTACTCGTGTAAAACGTATCTTGCATGCAAATATGAAATTTTCCACGGTCATAGAATATTCAAAATTAAATTGATTGATAACGCTAAAATTATGTGCACATCTTCCTTGAGGTAGTATGTGATTGAAGAAACCTTAACTAATGTTTGTCTTGTCAGAAACGATATTGATAATATATGAGGCGTGATTATCATAGAAAACAATGCACTGAATTTCATTTATCATTAAGGTGAAGATTTCACAAGATTTGTCTAGATTTATTTTACACTGATCATCAATTTATATACGTTCACAATCGATCATAAGCGTCAGTTGTCTGGTAATATTCATTATGATTGAAACAAACATAGAAGAATTTCTATCCGCATCAAAGAACATCCCGATATACCATCTGGAAATTGAATTATTTGAGTATCTCTATGGACTGTGTGTTTTACGAAACTTACAAATCTATATATGATTGATGATAGAAAATATCAGCCTGGAAAAAATAATGTCACACGATATTCTTGATATATCATCTTCATACATTAACATTTTGAGAAATGTAATTATATATTCGGATAGACCATGAAATTCTCTATAACTCAATATATGCACATTTTGAATTGCACTCGTTCGCTAAAGATAAATTCAAGTGCTGTAAAGACACTCTCATCGTCAGATTCTCCGAAAATTCATTTTCTGTTCTTTTAAATATAGAACAAGTTAATACAAAAGTAAATATATATTCGGAAAGTGCGTGAAATTCTTTATCATCGACTAGTGCCTGTACTTCTGCCAGTATGGACTTACAATTGTTTGATGACAAATATTTCGAGCATTGTTATTGTACCCTAGTTCACATGAAATCATGTAGCAACCCATGAATGATTATCTGCTAAAAAAGTCAGAGGTACGGATTGGATAACGAACCACCCATCAAATATGATATCGGTGCTGTTGCGAGTGTTTGATCTTAGATAAACAACCTTCCGCAGGGATATCGCTTGAACTCTCAACAACATCAAACCTAGTAACGTGTTGCGTGAATGCATTAGCAATACTCGAAAGATTTGCCCTCAAATAATTGCAAGTCAAGGTTGATAAAAACACAGGCTAATAGAGAATTTCACGCGCTTTCAGAATATATATTTATTTTTGTAAATATATTTTTCTATATTTAAAATAAATGTGGAAAAATAAATTCGAAAGGAACAAACAATGAATTTTCGGAGAATCTGATGATGAGGGTGTCTTTACTGCTCTTGAATTTATCTTTAGCGAACGAGTGCAATTCAAAATGTACGTATATTGAGTTGCAGAGAATTTCATGAGTCATCAGAATATATAATTACATTTCTCAAAATGTTAACGTATGAAGATGATATATCAAGAATATCGTGTGACATTATTTTTTCCCAGGCGGATATATCAAAAAAACACATTCTGAATAACTAATATTTGAATTAATTACACAACACAATGCAAAAGAAAAGAAAATAAAAATTTGCTTTTATAAATATAAATCAATCGCTCGAAAATATCAACTTCTGTTTCTGTTACTTTCGTCCTTTAAAACTATCGTCTGATCAATGATATTGCGATAACACCAAAGAAGTTCATGAAAACTGCAATAATACCAATAATCGCAGCATCGCCTAGATTAAATTTCATTCCATAAATTGTATTGATACAAGCATTGATCGCAATAGTGACGCCAATACATCCGATGAGAAGACAAGGAATAGCAAGGACTTTAGGTGTTAAGATTAATATGCCAGGTATCTTTTCACTTAATAATGCGCGTATTACAAAACATATTGTAGAAATGCCCGATAGTATGCAGGCTAAAGTAATAAAAATTCTAGCAGCCTGAATATTGTCACAGAAACTAGTTTCATTAGATTTCGACATGCATGAAACTTTGAGACATGTCTTTCCGCTTCGAGTCGGAGTACAGCTTTTCCAAAGTCCAGTTGTGCTTTGACCAAATCCATTGCCTATTTCACCCCTAATAGATAAAAAACATCGACTTGAATTTTTTTTATTGATTTTTTGTGAAAGGTATGAATTCCGAAATAATCTCCAGTTCATATCTTACAATTATTTACTTAGTACATCAAACATAGAAAGATGTAGATTTTTACATACCATATTGGATGTGCATTGCTAATAGTAAACAGTATAAAACTTAAGCATGAAAACATTCCAGCAGTGATGTGTAATAAGCGAGCATTCATTGTATAATTTTTCCATCATAAACGTAACATAGTTTTTGCGATTTCTTGTCATAATTTCATATTTATTAACGATTCACAAGCTATTCAGGAGCACAACAATGTCTACATGCTTACGCTACAGGGAAATAATTTAAAAAGAAGTAAATGTTTACTCAAAGAAGAAAACTTCGTTCATTGTTCTCTCCATTATGTATACAGTCGAACCCACCTATAAGAGCTCCGTATAAAGGAGCGTTACGCTTTTAGGAGCCGTTTTTCAATTCCCCGTTTTTTCGTAATGTATTTTACATTGTGGCAAAGTCCGCTTATAAGAGCGCTGTTTTGACGCTTTTTCGCGACTTTAGTCCGCATAAAAGAGCTTTTTTATCTATATGATTATAAATATGCACTTATGTTCTTCTTCTTTTTCTTTTCTGTCATATCTATGTGATGAATTTTTCCTTTCCCTCGTTCTGTATATTTTTCCCCATTTTTCGTTGAATCTTTACTTTTCAAACAATGGCATCTACCAGCGGTAAACGTTGCACATTATCGATTGAACAAAAATTGAAAATCTTAGAAGCACTGAAATCCAAAAAGGCAGACGATGTGGCTAAACATTTCAACATCGGCTATTCTACGGTGAAGAAGATAAGGCAAAACGAAGAAGTCGGAATTGTTGATAAACCGATGCCAGGTGTCTCTCATAAAGATGTGCTGATGCATCTTTCGATGGTTCGCAAGTATTTGGAAGAGAATTTTACAGATTACAATTCATATTATGATGTCGAAGATATGATCGAAAAGAACGCTTTAATTAATCGTACTCAACGTAAAATCACGGATTTCTTTAAGTAAATTTATGTATGTGTGTGTAGTATTTAATAAATGTTGACAAGAATCATCTTTTGCACTGTTTTGCATATAGTTTGCATAAAAGAGCGACCCGGATATAAGAGCCACTTTTTGATTCCCCGATTGCGCTCTTATAAGCGGATTCGACTGTACGTTCGAAACTATTCCAGTAAACTTTTAAACTACACGATGAATGCGATGAGCGCTCTAAAAACGTGTACTTCTAACTACACGAACGATGAATTGTATTAGGCGTTCGCTTTCGATTTGTTAAGTACTTTTAGGTCCTTCAATATTTATCGAACTTTTGACTTTTGAAGAAAAGAGAGTAGATGACCAGTTCGACTTCGAATTTAAATGAAATAAAAAAATGCCAGCACTTGCGTATGACAAAAAAAGAATTAAAGTTTAAATTTTCTAAACCAGATAAGATTTTTCTGTACGTGAAGTAGAAAGTCACAACAACGCTGCTGCTGTTCATAAATTGGGAATTAAAATTTTTGTCTGCCGCACGCAAGTGTTTTATCAAGACATTTTTTTACCATTTTAATATATCTTGAAAAACAAGACAAGAGAACAAAAAATAAAACGAACCCTTAAGGAACAGCATAACATGAACGGACGGAAGTGCCTTTTCTCGTTCCTTTTGTTAAAATGAACTTAATGGCTGATCAAATCATGCTTGCAATCGGTAATAGCAACACCGGTAAGATACATATACAATTTAAAAGAAAAATTTTATCCCGGCGAATTGTAAATTTTCTTTCCTTTCGGTATATACGTACGTACGTAGGATGGCATGAAAATATACATTTACGCACACGCACGTGAAACTCTTCTTACATTACATATCAAACGGTATTATCAATCATGATACACCTAACGCTACATTTATTTCAGAAAATTTACACTAATTGTAGATTTGCAAAAAACATTTTTCTCATTTTCCTCTATACTAGTGTTCTATTAGATAGGTAAATATTGAAAACATTCATTTAACGCAAATAGAAATTATAGCATTAGTTCTGTTTGCTGTTAGAGCAATGTAAGTCTCAAAAGCGTTGTTCTTTAGGAAACGATCATTATTTTGTTGATTTTCATTAATCCAATGAAAGACTACTATGTAGAGAAATGCTCGCATAGAAGTCACTATAATGGACATGGACATGTACGGAGTCGATAAGCATTTTCAATCCGAATGTCATTGGATCTCTGAAAATAGTAATTTTTGTCACTGATCGATTTCTTTGTCTAATTCTCGTAAAAAAAAGAAAGGTTGAAGAATATTGTTTCCAATGAAATTAAGATTGATTAATTGCTGGTTAAGGAATTCAACAGAAAGTATTGGAAAGTTTTATTTTACAAGATTCATCCTATTGAAATTCAAACTACAGCAAGGAATAAAAATGAAATATTATTGTATAGCTGCTTATTATTTTATCTACAGTGAATTATATTATCCAACAATCGTTATCGCTTTGCATCGATGAAAGTCTATACAACATCATTTATCAACATGATGGTTGGTTCAATATTCAGCTATTATAGAAATTTATTCGTCACTTTTTGAATATGAGAAGCTTCTTCGCCTAAGTGGACCATTGATCTCTTTCAAAGCTTTTTCTATCTTAAAAATATGTTGCTTCTCACCAGAACTTTGTTCATTGGACATTCAAATTATCAGACTAATTGACATTGAGAAATAGTAAAAACTACAAATAAAAGAGGGGTGAACTCAATTAATTGTTAGCTATGTGGATTATTGAAAGGAATAAATTACATATGGAGGAAAGTCGAATATTAATGGTCCTTCCAGCCAAAAAATAAAACACAATTATTATCATACAGTAGGCTAGAAACACTTTTGATCGATAGAAGTTAATTTGAAAAATATAAATGTTTAAAAACTTCTCTATTATTGTCAATGTTTCATCGAATTATTTGTCAATCTTTTCTATTGCATTTTTATCATAGAAAATTTAATTATTATTACAAAACAAACTTGTCTTAGCTTTTCCTATTCTTGATTAAGCAAACATATTAGTAAAGTGTAATGAAAACTCGGGGAAACAGCCAAGATTGATTTTTTCAGATTCAAGAAAAAATATACTGATAACAATGACAATGTTTTTCTAAGTCATTTTTAATCATACAAAGTCAAAACTTAACAGTTTTTCTTATCTAATGGATATACAAATAAAACAACTTTTACAAAGGTTCTTCCTGGGCAACACAAGTCCATATTTGTTTACCTTTGATGAACATCTGCCGCCGCGGTGGCTCAGTCGGTAGAGCGTCAGTCTCATAATCTGAAGGCCGTGAGTTCGATCCTCACCCGGGGCATTCGTTTTTTACTTATGAACAACGAACAAAATTTACATTATCCAAAAAAGATAGTGTAATTCATTTTTTTAAACAATAATAGAAAACAGTTTTTATTTTTCTAATAATAACAAAGGTTTTGATATTTAAAAAGTACTTGAAAGCTTATTATTTTGTTTTTGGAAAGCTCTTTATTACTCAATCTTATATTGCACATAAAAATCGAAAATTACGTGAACCATGTTCAATGAATAGGCAAAACGTTTCCATCACGATACATTTTGTTTTGTTGATTCTATTGTAATATTGAGCTCATCATTGGTAGCTTTGGTGACTGATATTCAACTATTTTAAGAAAATTCGAACTATTATTTTAGGAAGATTAATCTGAGTGCTCGAAGAAAAAAGCATAAGCCTAGTATCATCAAAGCGCTTTTGATTGCTGAGATAAAATCTCGTATAACTTGAAACTCTTATCGTACTCTTCCCTAGTAGAAAACCCACAGTGCATTATCACATTTTCATTTTTGAGAAAATATCTAAATATTTATTTATACATGTTCTATCATAGGATTGTTGCTTTTTATTTTGACTTCCATAGAAGAATAATTGCTCGCTTTTAGTTTAGTTTAGTTGTGTTGTGGTATTGTAGAGGATTCAAAGATTCGAAAAAGAGACTTCTTTCGTGCAAAAGCAAGTTAGAAAAAAAATCATGGCAACAGTTAAAAAGCTGAAATATTCCATCTAGTAGTCGATGGTTTAATTAACAGTTTCTTTGACTGGTTGAATTTCACGAAACGCAGGATTATTGATAATAATTAATATTTACTTTATTTTACGAAATGACACATGTTCCGTTGCCGCATTTTTTGCTTTATTTTTCTTTTATAAAGATGGTAACGGACAGAATCTAAAAGAGTAGTGTTGCTTCATTTTCACACCCCTACGCACGAGAGAAATAAATATGAGAGTATACATTTCACTTTTTCATTGCTTAAAACAGGTAAAAAACAAGGAAATTTTGAAGTAAATGATCATAAACTATTATAGATTTATCAAATCGTTTTTTATTTTCGTTAAGTTAAGGTAATGTATTACATCTGTGTTCTCGTTTGAAAAATTATTTATTGATTTGTATGTAATAGATTAACAGTTCACTATAAGCAATGCGAATAATACAATTGCAAAGCAATGCAAAAGCTTTCGTTGCAGATAATATTGAGAAATATCCAAAGAAACGAAAATCGAATATTTTATTACTTAATCATTCGTTGACATCATCTGTGAATATCAATACATGAATATAGTTTGTTTAAATGAATAGATATTTACATCCATTATCATTGAATAATGGTGCCCGAAGCCTACGACAATCCTGCTAATACAGCTAAATTCTCTAATTTTATATCTGAACCAGATCAAAAGCTTCCACATATACAGGGATTTGACAATGAACCTTTAGTTTCACTTGAGGAAGCTGTAAAACCTCTTGAATCTATTGTACCACAAGTTGATCGCATGGTTTATACGGGGAAAACAAATGCAAATCACCAAAAGACGAGCAGATGAATCAGCATCGATTATGCTTTTCACATTAGAATGGGGACCCCACAAAGACCATTTTACAGTATTCTCAATGAAAAACTTCGTTCTCGAAATCGAAGACGTGAATTAACTCCATGGTTTGCCCATCTTCGATTATTTATAAATGCACTTTCAAAACTTCCAAACAGTAAACATCGAATTATTTACAGAGGTGTTAAATTGGATTTAGGCTCAGATTATTGTATGAGAAAAGACTTTGTGTAGTGAGCTTTTTCATCGTGTACCTCATCTATTGGAGTTCTCGAAAATTATATACATAAATCGGGAAAAAGAGCCATATTTAATATTGCATATAATGTAGCTAAAGACATCAATCGACATTCATTTTTTCCCGAACAAAAAGAAGTTCTATTGTATTCTACTCGACAATTCAGAGTTAATTCATCGCTCGATGTTGGCAGTGAACTTCATATTATTCATCTCGAAGAAATCGAATCTCCCTTTCCTCTAATTCAGATTCCATCGGCAATAGGAAATTCAGGCCTCGGTTCAAATATCAAACATACAAAGACTTTATCAACAGCTGAATAATTCATTAATATTCTTATGCTTGGTGAAAAAGGTATTGGTAAATCAACTTTCGTTAACGCTTTTGCTAACTATCTTAAATTTAAAACAATCAAACAAGCTCAATCTAATAGTCCATTTGTATTAAAACCTCTTTCATTTGTCATGTTAAAGAACGATAGATTTCAACAATGTACTATCGAGTAGGGACATTCCAATCAGCACGGTGAACTATTAGCACAACACTGTCAAACTTATGCAATGGACCTTAATCGAAGCTATGAGGGAAAAGCTATGTTTTATCGATACGCCTAGTTTGGAAGATTCGCAAGATAATGTCAATACTATAAAACATATTTTAGACTATGTTAATAATAGAAATCATTTGAATGCTGTGTGTCTTCTTGTTCAACCAGATGCATCACGACTAAACAATAGTTATCAATCGCGTTTTGGTCAACTATTGAACCGTTTAGGTGCTACTGCTCGAAAAAAACATTATTTTTGTTTCACTCATGCTCATGTTAGTTTCTCCATGCCAAGAACTACCGCGGCCGTGCTAAGAGCAATGTTTGCTTCACTTTCAATGAATGATATTTCTTTTCATCGAACAAATACATACTTTTTTGACAACGAATCATTTCGATATTTAATGGCAGTCAACAATGGCGTCAAATTTGATAATACCGATCAGAGACCGAAATCGAATCGAATTGCCGAATAATTCGATTCGATTCGTCTGGGGCGAATCGAATCGATTCCGAATGGAACTTCAAAACTACCGAATCGAATCGAATGAATAAAAAAATAATTGAAAAAAAAGCCGAATCGAATCGAATGATACTTCTAGAAAAGAGGTCGAATCGAATCGATTCGTTTTTTTTCAGTTTCATTCGGCTATTGAAAATCATTTTCTTTGTTCTGGTGTTATGGTCGAGGGCAGTTGACTAGTATAAGAGATGACGCATGAAAAAGGACGTCCACTGTTTCTCTTTCTTTGTCTCTGTCAGTCGTGCTTATTTAATGGTCATCCCTGTTCTGTTCATATCGCTATCATGGTCAAGTGCANCATATTTTGTAAACCCAATTTGAGTCGAATCGAATCGAATCGAATTGATTTTTTTCGTGTTTTTAGCCGAATCGAATCGAATTACAATTTTAAAAAGACCAGAAAATCCGAATCGAATCGAATTACAATTTTTAAAAGACCAGAAAACCCGAATTGAATCGAATGGCACTTTTGCCATCGGTTTCGGTCTCTGATACCGATACAGAAAAATATACCACAACATGGTTATATTGCGTTGAGAAATCAATTCGTCTTCTAAATTATATTCTTATAAATCATATTCCATGTCAAATTGTTAAGAAGAAATAAAATAACGGTTGCGAATAAATCAATGTCATTGTACATTATAACATCACATGTAATTATATTTTTCTTTCTATTCAAGTTCTATCTTGTTCAATTACTGAAATTGTTAATATTTGTCTAAAATCAATAGATAAAATATTGAGCATAGTGTGAATATATTCACTGTTCGAGTGTGAGTTAGAGTTTTCAGTTTTTTTCTATATCTTGGAGAAATTTTTCAAAGTTATAAGTGATACGTAAATGAAATGCCTAATTGGTGTGTATTGCAAGAGCATCTTTCATTTCAATCGACTTATTTTCAGACTAATCGAGAGAAGTGATGAAATTTTTGTTTTAGAGTAGGGTTCGATGAGATCTTTTACTCTTTAATGGATAATTTAGAGCAAATATTTCAACTGTTAGTTAACCGGAACACCAGACCAGAGAAAATGTCAGCTTCATACCAATTTAGTTATAGTGATTCGAATATCTACATAGATCCATCCGTATGGTGAAAGAAAGAACATCGGCTAAAGTTCAAAAATGAAGCTATCTATTCAAGTTCAAAATGGATAACATCGAAAGACTTCATTGTAACGATGTGATAGAATCGTATGTCTAACTTCTCCCATACCTGTTATAGGCAATGATTTTGTGAAGTTTCATTGAATTAGATCGAATTAATAACAAAAGTGATAAAATATATATTTCTCTATAATCTATCGGAAAAAAATAATAAAAAGCCATATTTCCATTTTACAAGCCAATAGCTACTAAAAATTTTGCTTCTCAATTCTAGTTGATGGCAGAAACTGAATAGAACAATAAGCAACACGATGATATTGCATTGTTTCAATAGAATGTAACAATCGTGATGAGAAGAATTCGTTTGAAAACTTGTTCAGGAATAAGTAATGGAGAAATATATACATCTAGAGTCTAGCTATAAGTGTATTCGAGTGTTTGTAAAACTACGACTATTAAAATAGAGTCATATGACTTGGTCTTCTTGGCGATTCATGGGCTCGTAATTCCCATCGATTTCCATCAGCATCATACATGATTCTTGAAGAACTATGACGATGAGCTAAGTGATTATGTAAACTCTGCGAACTTGCATTTCTTGTGTTTATTATCACTTGTCCAGTTGACAATTCACTGGGGGATATAACTCCGTTTTCAGCTACTGTAATTACGGTGATGTCCTCTTTAGCTTTTTCAACATTATTTTCTCCTTGTGCAGTCATACTAAGATCATTGGCAGCGTTTGATTCTTCAATAAGTTTCGAAGCAGCATTACGTTGATATAGAAGATACAAAATAGGTGAAGTGATAAATGTTAAAACAGTTGCCATTAAAACAAACATTGCAAAAATGACAGGTGAAATAACTTTAAGTTGAACACCAATATTCAAGACAACTAATTGTACTATGCCACGAGTATTCATTAAAACTCCCATCGATGCACAATAATTCCATGGTTTTCGTGTACATAATTTTGTTGCTAATGTCACAGGAATTACTTTTGCTACAGAAGCCAAAATAATAAGAATTAATAATGTCCACCATGATCGGCCTGTATTTAAAAGATTCAATTTCGTTTTCAAACCACTATTGGCGAAGTAAAGACTGCAATTATCAGAATGCAATTTGTTATCAATAAATATAGCTAGTCAAATTTACTTACGGTAAGAAAAATTCAACAATAATCAATTCAATACGTATGGATAAAAATTCGACTAATTCACCTTTTCGTGGAATACATAGACCAGCGATGAATGCTCCAAAAAATGCATGAATACCTATTCAAATAAATCTTTTATGAATTGATTTGTTCTTTAGAGTAACATAATCTATGTTTCATTATTAGACATTTAACCCTTTACGGCCGGATGTTGCCATTTGGCAACATTGTGCCGATATTTTAAGAAAGGTCTAGCTACACTGTGAACAGATAGTGAATCAATAGTTCAATAATTACTACAAGATATTTTAGAACACAGCCATAGCCCATGAAACAAAACAAAAACGTTCAGCTGAGAAAATTACCGGAGTCCTCCTGAATACTTCTAAAGATCAACTGAGTCATAATAGATGTTCTTATGGTACCCTAAATCATTCAATCCCACAGGTCGCTAGTGGTAAATTTCCCCTCCTTGATCTATTGTATATTGTATCACTCAAAGAGATGATTCAATAAGTACTGACAATAAGAGGCATGGATGTTGCCAAATGGCAACAACCGGCCGCGAGGGGTCAAAATTTTTGAAAAATCTTTTTTCATTTTCGATTATCGTTATTCGCTATTTTGCGTCTTTTCATTTATTCATACAAGAACAAAGCATACAAAACATATCTGATGCATTTACATAGTTTTCCCTAGCTTTAAATGGAATTTTCTATAAAAAAAAGTCAGCATGATAGTATTGTAGCTCTCAATAATTGGTATGGAAATGGATATTTAATTTACGTATTGGCACGGGTGTAGAGAAATAAAAGATCTACAAGCATACCTATTCTGATACCAACTAACACAAAATCCCATACGGCTACTCTCTTCTTAAGTTCAACGTATGTCAAATTTTTCGTACGAAGTCGATTTGAATCGCGAAGAAACTGTGCAGACGTATCGTATAAATTTTTTACACTTTTTTCTTGAACAATTAAATGAAAGGAACGCAAAATAGTGAATTTCGATGATCGAAAATGACAACTGAATTTTTCAAAGTTTTGACCCTTTACGGCCGGCTGTTGCCAAATGGCAACATACAGCCATTCAACATAGAAGCACCGTTCAATTTTAAGAAATAGTTTTTTGCTATCTCTATGGCAGGATAAGAAAATATATGCAGAAGAAGAATTTTAACTACGTCGCTTTTGGGAGCCGGCTGGAAAGGGTTAAATAACTTTGACTAATATAAAGTTGATTACAATTATTTGACAGACGCAATTTTCGAAACAAATCGATAAAATTCTTTCAGCGCTTTACTGATATTTGGTATAGAAAAAATTGACTTTGAATAAAAATTCTTNTTTGACCCTTTACGGCCGGCTGTTGCCAAATGGCAACATACAGCCATTCAACATAGAAGCACCGTTCAATTTTAAGAAATATTTTTTTGCTATCTCTCTGGCAGGATAAGAAAATATGTGCTGAAGAAGAGTTTTAACTATGTCGCTTTTGGGAGCCGGCTGGAAAGGGTTAAGAACCTATTTTTACCCATCACTTCTGTTGTAAATGATGCAATAAGAAGTAATAAAAAACAGCCAACAACAATGTAGACATTACAATCATTTTCACGACGTAGATAATAACCATGAGCCCACCCGAAAATCGGTCGAATAACTATGAACATGATTAAAATGAAAGCTAACGTTAGTAACAATGTATAAAGTCCTTGAAGGGCAGAACCACCCGATGAAAAAGCACTAGCTACAGCCAAAACAACCCAAACAACAATATCTTCTACAGCAGCTAATGATATTGTTTGAACACCAATAGGTTCACTAAGTAAATTCATCGAATTTAGTAATGTAGCTAACACAGGAAATGCCGAAAATCCAAACCCAGAAGCTAAGAAGAAAACAAACAAATAATCTAGATAGTATGAAAAATAGTTTTCCCCTGATTTCCTACCGATGAACAGAATAAAAGCTGTTTTACTCGTTTCTATTCCTTCATTCATCTGATAAAACCACAAGGCTACTGCACATCCAATACCCACTAAATGCGATAAGATTCATTTTCAACAACTAAACTATTTAAAATTGAGAATACACACCAGGAAAGATTATACTGACACACGCAACTGGAATAGTTACTTTCCAGTTTGCTTTAATTTGCTGTAAGTCAAGTTCTAATCCAAGAAAAAACATGAAAAATATTAAACCTAAATTGGCTATCAATTGAAAGATTTTTAGGCTCGAAGTTGGCCATATAGCCTCAGTCCAACCTTTAGCATAACCTAACATAATAATAGAAAAAAAAGTTTTTGTTTTGCAAAGCGATGATCCATATTTTGCTATATTAACCTAGAATTGACGGCCCAAAAATAATACCAGCAATGATCTGTCCAATGACTTGAGGTTGACGAATGAATGACAATAACTTGGCAAGAATTTTACATACAATCAATGTGATAAATACTTGTAGTAAAAACATTGCCAAAGGCGATTCATGAGGATTTTCAAATAGAGTCACCATTGTATTGAAAAATGATTATTAATCGTAATCCTGTAGCTTGTTTTTGTTTTCGTTTAATTATATCTAAAGGTATAGTACTGGTATTTTGGCAATCAATAATCAAACCGTATAGTTATCAGTTGTCAACATCATAAATCAGATTAAAATCTTACAAAAAAGAAAAGCAATCATCATATCATTATTCAATAACACATTAAGAATAAGTATATAGAGAATGTGTTTCAATTTGATATGAAAGAGTACAATACAGACACAAAATGAAGTATAATAAATTTGATTATGTATTTATGTATCAATTAGAAATACTCGAAGGTAGCTATTATGTTATAGAAATTTGTTTAATGTACTGAATAATAAGATTCTCGACTACAAAGAAAATCTTTCTTTAAACAAAAAAGAAAAAGTACTAGGTGCTCTTTTTCATCAAACTATAAAAGCAACACATGTGTGTGGATCCGCTAGAGATGCATAGATTTTGTTTACATGTTTCTATTATATAAAAAAAAAAGAAAGAAATATATTCATTTCAATCAATATATGAGAAAGGGGAAGACAATAAAAAGCAATAATTGTACATCTATTCGTGACATTTGAATTCATGCAGATTTATGATGCGATACAAGCCTATCAATAAATCGATTTAGAAATTAATATATATATATTAATTCGAGAGCAATCAAGTCTATTACGCATGGGACGCATACAATTATAGAACTTGTTATCAATCGTCGTAATAAACTCAACGAACTGAGAAATATTTATTCAATAAGCGACGTCTCTATTCGAGTTTTGTGAATAAAATAATATTAATCATCATAGAACGTTAGGGTATTGATTTGAATTGAATATGTCACTGATCTTAAGAGGATTTTTCTAAATTTAGATAAATTAGCAATATGATTCTGATTTTGTTGAATTTTTCTCTGAAGTTTAAACATTTAAATGCATATGATGATGGATATTAGATGATCGAAAATTATCATTGCCAACATTGTATGTTGCTATGTGCGTACTGAGTTATGCGAATAACATGCATAGGCAAGATAACATCTGATACAATGGAACATGCTGTAACACCAAGACTCAGCTATAAAACGTTGTTTTGCTTTTTATTCAGTCAGTTAAGTATGCAAGTTACAGTATCTTTCCATGTTGCATCTCAAATGATGCTCTTGTCGTTTTATGATATTGCACTTCTTCTCAAAGAACAAATATAAGCCTATATAAGCCAGTAAATTATATTTTAATAGTATGCATATATTTCATTCATTTTATTTAATGTCATGTTAATAAAATACAAAAGTGTTTTTGACGTCTCTATAGAACAAAGGGCATTCTCTCAGGAGAAAATCATAAACATTCGTGCTACTTTGTATTTAGTTACAGGACAATGGTTTTTATGGATGATAACTACGATCGTATATTTCCATGACCTTGTAAAGAACAATAGGATGATACGCAGAGAAATACGACACCGAAAATAAATCTTACGTAACCTCCGCTAGTTTGCGTACATTCTGAGTATTTTTTGTGTACTCAAAAAGTGAGTACACTCTAGAATCGGTCAGTGTGTCCGGCCGTAGGCACGATAGCTTGCGAAAGGAGAGTCAGACCGTGATGAAATTTTCCAGAGAGTTCAATTTCATGAATATCTCGGTCGAGTTCGAAGATGAGAAAGATCCGTCAAGAAATGGTTGAGTTATCGAAAAAATTGTCATTTTTGACCAGGCCATCCCTGAGGAGGAGTACAGGGATTTTTTTTCAAAAAATAAATCTTTCTCAGAATTATTCACAACATATATAAGTCGACTCAGTTTTTAACGCTGATTCTAAATCTGATATTAGTTTTGAACTAAGTCATAGCTTTCTAATGAAACATCGCCTGAAAAACGTCTCAAAATTCACAAAAACTCCATCCAGAAATCANATTGCCTAGTTTCTCATGATAATTTTGGTGTTCAGACATTCTAGAATGACTCATACATCCCATGCACTTTTTGCAGTACACATAACTTTCGGATGAAATCCGAAGTTTCCACATTTATTTTTATGTTATTGTGGATCATCATAAGTCGTCGTATATACAATGCATAAATATAGAATCATTATAATTAATTAAGTATTCAAATTTTCATATGCCAAGGATTAGAGATGTTGTTCATCAAGCAAAAACATCGAAATTTATTATCAACTATTTAGAACATTGGAGAGGCTGATGGTATTTGTCTATGACACTAAAATCAAGAAAAATTATATGAGACTGCATAAATAAAAGGTAATTAAACTATAGGTTGCAAGCAAACTATAGCTGATCAATTTTGACTATGAAGTATGTGCCTTTAGTATTCCACATTGAATTTTTTCCTATGATATCTTTTTATGAAATCTTACCACTTCAACTTCACATCTCCGGGGAGAGGAGGCGGTACACTAATAAGACTCCCGTCTCACATGAATGGAGAAAAAGAATGTATTAGATATCTTAGTTTGAATCACAAGGGAAAATGCAAATACAAGTAACTACACTATAATATTGTTTCTATTCATGTGAGTAAACATATATCAATTACCCTAAACACTATTTTATCTGAACTAAAAATAAGCAATGATTTATATCGTTGCATCTTCTATTTATATATTCACACGTTATCGATTGAATGATTTCTTCTCATATAATGGATGATTGCCAAGTTACGCTTCATAACTCCTATCGAACAGAGTGCAGTATATTGGCATGTTTATATACGACACAGTAGGAGCGTTATTTTATTTTTACTTTGTTTTATAATAACGAATAAATATAAATAAAATCTTTAACTTTATTTAATAAAAATAAAGAAATCTTCATCATTTCAACAATGAATAAACATAAATGAATTCTTTATATTTATAAAATAAAGATACAAATGAAGTAAATAGTAAATTCTGTTTTCTCTGAAAATTTAATGTTTAATTTTTATCACGGAAATAACAACAAGGTATGATTCTATAGGTAGAAATGCACTACTAAAGAACAATGCCCATGTATTTTTTTATTTGTTAATTTTATTTTTCAATAATATCAAATATCTGCTGTGATGAAATCATATCGATTGAGATCTCCTGTTGTCATGCTAGGTATTTGCTAATTTACCGATAATAGATAAGAATTCTTTCTTTATTCTTTCTTTTATCTTTATTGGATTTTTCTTTCAATAATAAACAATTATTCATTTGTATATCTTTATTCGATAAACATAAAGTTTCTATTTATATCTATTTCATACAGTAAATACCTGTACTACGAACATATTGTGCACCATTCATTATGGTAGGACCTATAAATGACGATATTGGACTTTACCCAATATCGACATCGGCAAACGCATTAGGTCGAATCAAAACTGTTATTCATCATGAGTATTTTGAATCCTATCCGACTGTCAAAAGCTGGATGAAAAAACACACGAATAATCCAACACAACGAATTAAAAATTATTTTATCTCTTATTTACCTTTTCTCAGTTGGATTTATCGATATAATTTAACATGGTTTTGGGGTGATCTTATAGCTGGTTTGACTGTTGGTGCTATTGTTATACCGCAAAGTATGGCCTATGCTGGCCTGGCAAAATTGGCTCCACAATTTGGTTTATATAGTTCATTTGTTGGAGTTGTGATTTATTGGTTTTTTGCTACAAGCAAGGTAAATAAGATAGAGTCAGATGTTCAAATTCTACAGAAAACAATTCTAGTATTCAGTACATCACTACAGATGTTTCGACATCAATTAATATAGAATATAGAAAAGAAAATTATCAGTTATGAGAAGCATAACAAAAGTGAGTGAATCTAATTGGATCGACGTGTACTTATCTGTCCTTGAAACACAGAGTACGTTGCTAAATGCATTTCGACATGAGTGGTATAATTATACTTTTTGAAAGCTTTCAGGTCATCTTTTATTGTTGGTGCTCCAATAAAAGAAAAATTTCTTGAGGACAATACATTTTTTACATAATTTGGTGACACGAAAAAACTTCTGTCTAATTTTACAGAACTCTTAGAGAACATGTAGAACTATCAAAACTAGTTCATCAGCATTCTTGTATAATCTGAAAGTTCTATTTAGTAGATAAAAATGTATTACCAGTTAATCCTTTTACTTTTCGGGCAAGGCAACAGAAAAGCAAAAGTATTGCACTTCAGCGTACAGGCGTACCTCTAACTGCATTTCACCTATGATTCATTTCGAAGTATGAAGGTCTCGCTGCTCTCTCCTTGACAATGATTAAATTTAGAACAGACGAAATTATTGGTTGATGATAATTTATATGTTTACAGTAAAATAAAATATCATGAATTTTCAGAAAGAAACTCATGACCTTTCAGTAGTCGACATGTTAAAATAAATCAAATGATACAATGTATTTTTTTAAATTTTGATATGTGACTATTTCTATATTAGTCAATAGGGAGATACTTTTCGTTCTCTAAAAAAATAAATGCGAAAACCTCGGATTTAAATCCGAGTGTTATGTGTACTTCAAAAAGTGAAAAGGTATATTCCTTTTCTTTCTTTCTATAAGACACAGATCTCATCAAGATAATCCCTTGTCACCACACCCTCAAGGAGAAAATACAGGCGTGCTAAGTTAGCATGGACCACACTGTATGCGACCATATCCGATGACCACTGACTCTGCTCTTAGAGTGATATAATATCTTTAGAAATCACAGAAATTAAGTTCAGATTCGTGTTTAGCTTGGAAAACTGGGCAAGAAGAGTTATTTTTGAGTGGATTTGCGCTTGTATCTAGCGGAATTACGATCGTAAGGAACCTCATGAATCTATAAGAGATATATAATAGATACAGGCATCAGTATTCTCCTAATAAATCACCAATATTAATAGCTATCGAGTTCGGGTTTTCACCTTTCGATTGTCCTTTTGACTAGCTACAAAACCAGCCATTTGAGAAACCCCAAAACTACTGGTCATCTGAAATATATTTAGCCAATTTGGTTTCTGGATGCCGGTTTTGTGCATTTTTTAGACCTTTTTCAGGCGATATTTTGTTAGAAAGCTACGATTTGGTTCAAAATTAATATCAGATTCGGAATCAGCGTTAAAAACTGAGTCGATTTATATGTGTTGTGAATAATTCTAAGAAAAATGTTTTTTTTGAAAAATCCCTGTACCTCCCCTCAGGGTTGGATTGGTCAATAATGACAATTTTTTCGATAACTCAACCATTTCTTGGCGGATCCTTCTCATCTTCGGACTCGACTGAGACATTAATGAGGCTGAACTGTGTAGAAAATTTCATCATGATCTAACTCTCCTTTCGAGAGTTATCGTGTAAACGGACGGCCGGACGGCCGGACGGACACACTGACCGATTCTAGAGTGTACTCACTTTTTTGAGTACACAAAAAGAGGCTATGTTAAATGTAAAAGGAAACATTTTACTCAGATAATTGCACTTTGTACAGCACGCTTAGCAAACTTTGCATGATAATGAACGGCCAAGAAATTTTAATTATGTGAGACTCAATATAAAGCTTTTCGAGCTAAAAGATACATGAGCAGAATTCTAAATGCTTGAAAGATATCACAAATACAATGAACATGACATACAAATAATGATATAGGATGTAATTACATCAAAACTTAACCGATGAAGCACACAAAGTTTTTCATTTTTAAGAAACTATTTGTCTGTTGAAGTCTCACTGATCTACCCTAATTATAATAATTATAATTATAATAAAAAGTCACTCGTATATATTACAGTTGAGATCAGCAAGAGTTGTAACTAATTTGAAAATAAAAATTAGGTTTCAGGATTCTTTCATCAAAAAAATTCTACATTCTTAATTCACTGATATTAATATTCTCTTTGATTTATCAGATATACACGAAACCTAGCGCTAATAAATTCATATGGTTTTCTTTCGATCCTGACTGTTAATGTACAAAATCAGAAAATAGAATACTTGAACTATTGTTTGTAGGACAAAAATTTAGAAACGGTCTGCTTTTACCGCCATCCAGAACATTTTATTACTTTCGTCACGACAAATCGCTTGCAGTGTTTATTTGCTTCCGTTGGCTAATATTTATGATAAACGTATTTCCATTTACTGATGAAAACTTCAGGAGAATTAATATAAAACTTGAGACACTCATAAAAAGTTTTATATTAATATTAAATTCATTTTTCTACAGGGGATGTAAACTAGATGGTTGCAAGTATTTTAGAACTTGATACTTTTCCATTATGAAAATAGGCGTTTTTTTTACAATCAACGTGCTGACAATACTGGAGAAGAAGTATGCAATTTCATTTTATGCACGCTTTCTAAATTATGAAGGAAAACACTTATTTATGCATAAACGCTTGTATATACTATAGTTTTCATTTAATATTAGCTGAACTGTGCATATTCTATTCAAATACGGGAGTGAGCACGGGTCAAGTAATGTCAGATTTGAGAACAACCCGCAGTGCCCATATTCCATTGGTTCTTTATTTTACATTTTACAAAAGAAAGTAATAAAGTGTTTCCGGTGACATGAAAGGATTTTTCCATTTACCCTGATGAACTAAATATCCATGCGGAGAATCCCATGCGAGATACAGATTATAATAAGAGAGTAATTCAAGGATTCATACAATGTTATAGAATATGTAGTACCTCGATAAAGCAGCTCTAAGAATTCCAAAATAATGAGAAACATCGAAACATCAAATAACTCGAATATAAAACAATACCAAAGTGCTAGATTTAATTGAAATACTATTACAAAAGTATAAATAGTTTTATTAATTTCTACTATTCCTAATTCTAATACGATACTCTTCTTGTAAGAACGATGAGAATGGCTTCTCAGTCATTTTATTTGACATAATTACGATCGTGTCTACTATTCAAAACGAACTCAGATAATTGAAATAAATCATCTGGCTTTTATTTTGGAAAATGTGAAAGAAAAACACATGGTATAGGATTTTCTCGTCAAATCGTTTATTTTCATTATCAATTTCTATCATTATTTCGTTGTGAGCTTCAGTCATTTTTTTTCTTATGCTATTAACATATAAGAATTTGAGACTGTGTCATGACTATGACAATATTAGCTTATTCTGTTATATTAATATTGGAAATGATTGACTAATTCCATTAGTAGTATTTGTTTAACAATTGCGCGTGACTCAAAGTTGGCCATGCAAGAAGCATTTTGTATTGTAAATTTTTTACGTACGGTCTAATGTGTCGGAAAATTGCTTGCTGAAACTTGAAGGAGTATAAAATCAAATGATGAACAGCTGTCCATCATATCGAAAACTCTCATTTACGATGTTTCTATTTTGCAAGACAACAATAAATAAAAGTCGATTCAATAGTCTCTATATCAAAACACGATGTCGATAATAGTTACTCACTTGTTTATGCATTGTCATGACTTTTATTAATGATGACTACAAGCAAGAAAACTACAATATACACTACGATTTATTAATGAAAGTCAAAGGATAAACAGGAACTTGTTGAGAGTGATTATTTGAACTCATTTCTGGTCATTTTGCATCTTTTTATTTTGAATAAAAGTTATTCGGTACCAAATTTTCAAGATATTTACTGAATTGAACAGTATAATAAATGTATATCTACGTCTTAATTAATGTACTCGTTATAATGTCGATTTCAATCTTTTTTTTAATTATATAACTCTTGTCTATTACAGAAGAAGAAACAGTGTCGTTTAAAAGACATGTAAACTCTGTATTGGACAAGATCATTATGAAAAAGTCAAAAAGTAAATGCATCTTTTTTTAATCGAAATCATAAATTTAAAATTCATTTGCAAAAATAAAATAGACAGGAGGTTGCTCGTGTAAGAAAAAATCCATTTGATCTTTATGGATACGATTGTTTCGATAAACTCTTATGGAAAACCATTGTTGAAGTGATTTTCTCGGCAAGAAATTAACCAATCATTCTAAATTTCCGTTTATTTATCAATCACTATAGTTACACTCTAACCATAATATGTAAAAAGAAATATAATTTATAATATTACAGTAAAATCAATTTGTTTAGTTCACAATAAGCCCAGCATCAATTGACATTCATCTAATTATGCATAAATATAAAATCTTTTTTCCCTTACTGACGAATGAATCAAAGCAATATCTCCAAAGCAGCTGGTTTTCCTCAATCAATCAAAAATCTCCCAAGAGATTATCGATGCAATTTTTTTTTATTTATAATATGGACAAAGATTTTTGCTCAAAATTTTTACAGATAAGACTAAAGATATGCGTGCACTGTGTAGCGATAGTTCGTAGGACAAATCATAAGATGAAGAAGACGACGAAGAGGAAGAAGAAAACAGAGAAACCTTAATAGCCCTTCTAGGCAATCCTTTTTTTTGCTAGAATGTATTTGGAAAGATAAGTAAATTAGTAGTTTTTACCGGATGCACCTGGTTTCGTTTCCGATTATACGGAACCGAAATAGCTTTGTTCTGACAGTAAAATATTTATGATCTCGTCAAGATTCCTATTTTATCTTTCTGTCATTGTATTGCATTGTATTTATAGAATTTGTTCCTTTTTTGATTAGAATGCCTATAAAATTGATTTCATTCAATGGCTAGCATCCTATAATGAATCCATTTGTTTATTGAGTACTTGTATACTTGCCTTTTTCTCTCTCTTGAGAATCAACTCCTAAGTAAGTTTAACTATAGAAAAGGAAAAAATGAGTATAATAACCGTTAAAAGTAATGGAATGAATACACCCAAATAAATGACTTTTTTTCTTTGCCGTAAAATAGCTTCTTTTTCCTATATTATTCAAGCACTGTTTCTATACTTATTAATTCCGAAAGCGTATTAAGTGAATGTTCAATTAATAAAAAAGCCACAAGAAACATGTATACTTGAAAGAAAAGAAAAATTTATAATTGAACCTTTTGTATATCGAATATGAATGGAATGTTTTTTGTTTTGGCTTGAAGGAAAAAATGAATCGGGAAGTTAAGTCATATAATTGATAGATTTAGTGATCGTTAAATGAGGAGAGAAATTTTTCATATGCTAAAATATTCACTCAATGCTTCGGCGTTGTCATTTAATAATTGATTTTTCTCCTTTCGTTTAACGGTTGCTATATACAAATAAGATAGTCAACAAAGCTGTCAAGTTTGCTCTTTAAATACTTTTCTCGAGTTTTTTCTCAGCGGACTAGTCAATTAATGCCTATAGTTCGATAAGAAATTGTCTGTTCATCATGCCATAACTCTCTTTCTCTCTCATACTCATAAATGTTATTGATTTTGCTACACTTTCATAAAATCCAATATCCATTAAAAACAATCAGCTACCAATTTGAATCTATCTCATCTGTCACTTCAAATAGAAATCTTAGACGTCTTGCATAAACTTCGCCTATGCACTTGTGTCTTAAGGCTTGCACGTGTTAATATATCGAAGTGGTGCTCACTATTAGAATGCTCATGTATTTTAGCTCATTTTCTCCTAAGTTGACAAAAGAATAACACCCGTCATCGAGAATAGTTATTGGCATGATCTAGCTCTCTCTCTCTCTCTCTCTGCGACTCTTTTTTTGTCGTTTTACAAATTAATGAATTGTTGCCAAACAAAAGAATAAAAGAGGAAGCAAAAAAAGGAAAAAATCAAGAAAACGGAGATGGTTCGACGTCGTATAGAGCGAACTTNCTCTGCTACTCTTTTTTTGTCGTTTTACAAAGTATTGAATTGTTGCCATACAAAAGAATAAAAGAGGAAGCAAAAAAAGGAAAAAATCAAGAAAACGGAGATGGTTCGACGTCGTATAGAGCGAACTTTCCTGCTTGCTTGTCTACTTACTAACAGTGTACTATAATGAAAAGCGACATTATTCTCTGTTGCGTGTTGTCATCATTTTCTTTTCCCCCAAACGTTCTGTGTTTTCTTCGTATTCTATAGCCGCCATAGGCTGTCGTCTTTTGTCGTTCAACTGAATATAGAAAGAAAAGAAAGGCCTTCTATGGTAACTGTGCTTGCTTGTATTGGATCAGAGGCAAATGTTGAACGAGTCACAATTAACATCATGCTATCGCCGTGGTAGCTGTAGTTGTAAAGAATAGCTTAACTTTCAAGCGAGTCTCATTTGATACATATCGCTCTTAGTGCTGTTTAATGCAGCTAAAATCTTTTCTCTTTTTTTTCTCATGAGTGTATGATATTATAGGGTGAGCTAGATGCGTCACACAATGAAGTATATGATTAATAACGTATAATTTGTTTCAATTTTTTTATTTATCTAGAAATTATTGATTAACGAACGAAATATACATCAATAGATAATGGAGTCTCGTAATACTTATCAAAATACGAATGACCCCTATCGTCAACATGAAGATCAGGACCAAACAGAACTTTATGAATATGACAATGAAAAACGTTCAAGTGCTACACGCCTACGTAGTTTATTTGGTCCGAATCTATTACAAAACCCACCTAAAATATTGCGTGATGCACCGAATCTATTGAATTCATTACCTGCAAGTGTTGATCGAACATTACTGTATGCAAAACTTTTTTATTTTTGGTATTTTGCTGCATTCGGATCACTTTTCCCTTTATTATCGATTTATTTTAAACAAATGGGAATGGGTCCATCATATTGTGGTATTCTCATGGGATTTCGGTAAATGAACACAGACTATTTTACTTAACAGTTCGATATTAATCATCATTCAAAGAAAGTACGGAAGCAACAAAGAAAGAATAGATAGAGTGTTATCGAATGGCTAAGTACTAAGAGAAGAAGAAGAAAATGCAAAATACAGATAGGTTTTCAATGTAATTATATCATCTCAATATCTATTGACATTGAATAGCACTTGAAACATCCGCTTGTTTTAGTGAGATTGGTTATGAAACTCGGATAGCCTCTACGAAATCTTATCTCTTTTGACGTATGAAAAGAATGATTTCAAGTAAAAACATCTGGAATGAAAACAGTCTACTACGTGTGACTGTCTCTTTTTGTTGTTCTTAACTATAAATTATAAAACAAAGCCTAATTTGTTTTCTCATCTATTTAAAAGGCCATTTGTGGAATTCGTTTCGGCACCATTTTGGAGCGTTGTTTCAACACGATTTCGACAAGCTAAGAATATTTTGTTAATGGCACTTTTATCTTGGATTGTTTTTACTCTTGCTATCGGCCTTATTAATCCGCCTCCACATTCATGTTGGCGAGAAATGAATGCTACACATCAGTCTATTGAACGCGTAGGTCATAGAACTAGCAGAGTAAATCCAAATCCAAAAACTCATACGAAACGTTCAATAGTAACATTACCAATAGTTTCATCGAAAAATTCAAAACTAACAACAGATATAATTGATCAAGGAAAAACATATATTTCAAATCAAACAAATTTATTAAAAAAAAATTTTTCAACTTCAACTGTAACTCGAAGTATTACAACAACTCTTTCAATAGCGACAACAAGAAGAGCAAAAGCTATTAAATCAACAACAGCAAAAACAATAAAAACAACTCAATTATCTAATAAAAATAATGGTGACGATGAGGATGAGGATGACAGTGAGGACGATGATGTTGAAGATAATCAAGAAGATAATGCTATAATTGAAAATCGAAAAACAACGACGCAATCTAATAGAAAACAATCTGATACAAATAATGTTTTACACATAAATACACTAAAGAAAACAATTGGAAATCCAATATCAATAACAGTTACAAATATTTCTCTTGTGAAGCCACTTGCTTCATCTGTATTATATGAACAAAAAGACGTGCGAAATGTATTTATGGTTTTCTTGCTTCTCATTATAATTGGAGAATTTTTTAGTGCACCAGCCATTACATTAGCTGTAAGTCATTTTTTCTTTGTCTTGCATTCCAACTGAAATTTGCATAGAAAGACGTTTTCTTTCTTCCTATGATTTAGGATGCTTACACATTAACATGTTTAGCTCAAGATACTGAGCAATATGGTCGACAACGAATGTACGGAAGTTTAGGTTGGGGTTTGGCCATATTTATTGTTGCTACAATACTTGGTAAAAAAATAGACTTGAAATAGAACAAAAAAGGTTTTTTTTCGGCTAATTGAATCTTTTTTTTAATTAGATCAATCAAAATCTCTTACGTTTTATGCGTGTGGAACAAGTGGCCCATTAGAAAAAAATTATACTGTTTGCTTTGCAGCCTTTACTGTTTGTATGATATTTGCCTTTATAACTGCTACACGTTTTCAATATTCCTATGATACAAATGAACAAGTGCCATTGAATATATTAAATAAAGATTTAAAAAGAGCAGCATATCCACCAATAAAACCAAATAGCAATGAACGTACCATACATAGTATTATCAATGATGAACAACAAATACAAATTAATGTCAACGAAACACTATATACAATACCAGATTCTGTTAAATTAATGCAAATTATACGATTATTTATGGCATTAAAAAATGGAACATTTCTTTTTATTACATGGTATTAAAAGAAATGAATTGAGAAAAAATAATAAGGACTAATTTACTTTTCATTTAAGGTGGATGGGCTGTGGTGTTGGTCTTGTATTCACTTTTCTCTTCTGGCATTTACAAGATCTTGGTGGATCACCAACACTTTTCGGTAATTATTTTAATCATAAACTATATTGAATCTGCGTGCATTTAGATTTTTTTCTTCTTACAAGATAGATGCGGATTTATGCTGAGAACTATACTGATTACTTTGTCTTTCTAGTAACATAATAATAGGAACAGAGAACATTTTCATCACGCAATGTATACAGAAATAACAGACATAGGGAACTATTATATTGATAAAGTAACTTAGGCATGTTGTGCGCTGTTTGCATGCTATAATTAGGAAGTTTTAGTCACAATTATTTCAAAATGGGAACTTCGTTTTCTTCTTCTATTGATTGAATTCGTGTTGACAGCGAATTAATAAATTAGAGTAGCCAAAGAAATTCAATTTTATATTCTTCTATTGATTGAATAAAATCATTTTGTTTTAAATTCTTAGGCGTGGCTTCAGTTATTAATCATATAAGTGAATTATTTGCTTATTTTTTCTTATATGAACTCATTCATCGTTTTGGTCATATTAAAATTCTCTATATGGGTTTATTAGGAAATTTTATTCGTTTTGTTTATATATCAATGATAACAAATCCATGGTGGGTGCTACCATTTGAATTTATTCAAGGTAAAAGATAAACTATAATTTTATTTATTAATAAAAAAAACAAAAACTCTGTAGGATTAACTCATGCCGCTGTCTGGGCAACAGCTTGTTCATATTTGTCTCAAGCAGCACCAGAAGGTTTACGTATATCTTGCCAAGGTGTTTTACAAGGTTTTCATTTTGGTTTTGGTAGAGGGTGTGGAGCTTTATTTGGTGGATTTTTCGCTTCCTATTTTGGCACTGATATTACATTCCGTGCATATGGCATTATATGTTTAATATTAATGATTGTATTTATATATATGAATAATCGTTATCAACAACAAACCGAAACTGGCTATGGACCAAATTTAAATGTTGATGATCCACATCAATTTATGGGCAATTCACCTCGTCTTGCTCCATATGGTGCGCCAGCAAATCCTAAATGGCAAACAAAATTTTCTTCAGGTAACCATTCTTTTATGATTTATTCAAAATATATTAAATATTTATTTTTCACAGGTTTGACAGTTGGTATTAAACAAGATCAACTGCCTTCAACTCCGATAATGCCAGTAAGAATAAAACAAATATTTTCTTTCTTTGCGTTTCAACGATTATTATGAAAACTTTCTTTCTTCGTTTTATCTATAGTTTGATACTCAAATAGCGGCAGCATCTTATTCCAGAGGTTACCACTATGGATATTAATTTAATCAAATATCTCGGTGTTCGCCATTTTCTTTCTTTTTGGTTTTTGATTTTATTTATATATGCATATTTAGATTCTTATTCTCATTTTTCTAATCTGCTTATTCATAAGATAGAAGTATCCATATGCCCTTAATGAATGCATTGGAATACTCTGATGCTCTTATTGTCTTTTGTGTTTTGACAAGCCCTAATTTCTTTTTTGTTTGATGTTTTGTTTTTATCTAAATCTGGTTTAAACACATTGAACTGGTTTAGACAGAGACACTGATGTAAAAATATACGAGAGAAAAACGACCACGTTTACGCTTGATAAATATTAAAATTAATAACATTCTAGACAGTCAAATTCGAATTTTCAAAAAGCACGAGTCTTTATGCGTAGTTTGTATATAAGCTTGTAGTCATTTGCAAAATATTTTTGCACGACCAATGTATGTCATGCAAGTTATATGAAGCATCCGTCATTTTGAAGAGTAAATAAAGAGCAACGCATGATGTATAGGTGTACGTTTGATATTGGCACGCGTCACAACATAATTTTCAATACTTTAGATAAAAACATGCTTGATCATACATGAATCACATCCTTGTAAACAAGCGCATATAACTAGTATTCCTATAGTATGTATGACTCATATGTAATCGTTTAAGTGTTATGTATGTGTACATACATTGGCGGGCCGCCACAAGGCAATTGGTGGCAATTGCTACACCCACTGACGAAGCCAGGGTGAACTCAGCCCCCTAAAGAGCTTTTAGAAAATGTACTTTATATATTAATATGTATTCTTGTTTGCAGTTTAACGTTTCAACCAGTGCTGCCTGATATCGAAGTCGAAAATCAAAAAAAAACTCAAAAAATCATCAAAAAATCGGAAAGAAATCCAGAAAAGTTTCAAAACCCTCAAAAATCCGGAAGATCTAGCAACACTGTACCTGAAGTACAATTTTATAGGGTGCCTACACGCCCACAATTTTTGGATGCTCGCGGCACTCTTGGGGGCTGAACTGAGTCGCCACTGGTCGCACCTGAAAAATGATCTGTCGTATATATGTATCCGTATATATACATGCATTACAGTAAAAACATGGGTTTCTGCTAAAAAAATCGAGATCATTTTTTATTGCCACACCTCCATATGAGACGCTGACCCGCCAATGTGTACATACACAGAACTTGAAACTGTAAAAATGCTGCATATCAACACGAAAAGTTCGTAACTTAGATCACTACTATTACCGAAACAATACTCTATACAAAGTTTACCTTTCGCGTGATGTAGATGTTCCGCGAAATATATATATATATATATATATATTTATTTATTTATTTATTCTTCGTCGAAATACGATCGAAAGTCTATGTAATCTAGTTATATAAACTAAAAGGTATTATTGAATTTGTATATATATATATATATATATACGTTCATCTCTCATAGTTATTCACCATCATCAGGTGCTTGACTGTTGATTTTATTATTGATTTAAGTAGACCATCGAAGACTGAAGAAATGTACCTTTTTAATCGATATTCCTTCAAATTGTTACCTGTAATCAGGCTATATTATCTATATATATTTGGTATTTTTAGTTATTTTAGAATTCATTTGTATTGAAACGTTTATATGTTTTTTGTTTTTGTTTTCAATAATGGATTAGACCTATTCATGTAAATTTACATTTCATGAAATTTCTAACATAGTTTACTCTGCCATGTATTATTACGTAGGATGCAAAAAAAGTACATTGTATATGCGCATAGAACAATGGGAGTGCAGTTATGTGTGCACATTTTTAGCTGTCGAATTCGTCTGCGTAGATGACGAAAACAAAGGTTTACTTACACGTAAACAAGCGACAAATACGGCAAACTATGATTCGTTAATGTACAATAAAAAGTTATTTTTTCTTTTTCTTATGCATAGGATGCATGTTAAACCCTATGTATATAAAGAGTGAAAACAAATATGATTTGCCTGTATAATCAATATAGAATTTGACTATTTTAAAATCATGCTGCGTGTGAAAAATTCATCATTATTTTTGTCCATCTTATGTTTATTCATAGTTATCAATGCAATACATCCACTTAGAGTTCGGTTACCAGGTCTAAAACTATCAGCAACATTTCGTAGGACAACTACATATGTTAAGAAAAAACTCCTTATTGGTGAAGAAAAAGTAATTACTCTGCAGCAGCAACCAACATTGCAAATTCCTTCACAACTGAACAACAATGAATTATAATGTACTTTTAAAATATTTATCATTAAACAGTTTAGTAGATGTACTGTTGCTTTTTACTTAAACTATAATTAATGTGTTGATGAAAACAGTTAGTACAGTATACTAGTGTTTATCAATAAAATAAATGTTCGGAATTATCAATCCTAGTGTAAGGATAAAAAATTTCACTAATTATGCTAAATTATTGAAATATTCCCGAATATATCTATATTAATACATGTAGGTCAAAATAAACGATACATCGTCATGTGTCGATTTGCTTTTTTAATATTTTCACTTTTGAACCTAATATTCTATACTATATTGCAAGTATTCGACTAGCGCACTGATCACGTAAATTTTAGACCTATATTCTAATGTAAATTCATTGAGAAATATGCAAACGCGTCGGATGTAGCTATACACTGATGAAAAGAAAATCTGGCGTTTTTCTGAAATTCCTTCTTTTCTTAATGGCATTTACTGTCTGTACATCAATTATATTTTACGTATTCATCCATTAGAGATTGGCACTAGTGAAAGTAAAAATAACAAGAAATTAACTAGCAAATAACGAATATTAATTTTACTAAGTTTATATAGAAATATCTTTCTCTACTGACTCTTACTCTACAAATTTTCCAATTTGTAGAATACTAACTAATCTAGCATGTATCGGCAGTATCAATATGAAATCAAATGATAGACATTTGGGAGAATATTTAATGAGAAACTAAATTATCTCTTTGAAATTAATCAAAAATACATATAGGCAATTATTTAGTTATCCCATATAGAACAAAGAAGAAACGTAAATATTTGTATCGATCATTTTCCACGTGCACGCCCTACAGGGAAGAAGATATGGCATCAAATGATAAATCATTGAATACTGATCTTTTATTTCCAACGAAAATCAATTAATTTACTTTAAACTATTCATTAATTGAAAAAAAAAGAAACTATCTTCCAAAATGGCATTTTATAATTACCCTTATAATTTTTTGATAAATAGGATCATATTTATTATGTCAAAAGATCTTGTAAAAGCCTAATTACATGAGTAATCTGGCAATCAAGAGATTTGTTTTGTGTCGAACTAAATTTGCTCCTCCCACGTGTAATCTTTAACACGCATATTATTTATCTATCGGACAAATATAAAATGAAACAATGTGATTGAAGTAAATTTAATGGTTAAATTTCTTTCGAAAAATGAAGTATGTGCTTGCTATAGCAATGTGTATGTGTCATATAATCCTTTGATGATGAAAGTAGCAAAGTGCTTAAGAGCTTTTTATTACATCGATAAAAAGATCCTATTTCAGCTGATTGATTATCTAACGAGGGAAGGTCTCCAAGTGATACCAACCATTCGGGTTCATATTGTGCTTATAAGTAGGACCCAGTAAGACTAGAAAAAGGCTAAAAGATTTCATGCCATTAGGCGTTTCTTTCAAAGTTATGACCTTTTTACTGAATTCTCGACCTTGGACAAGGAATTTATAGAAAAAGTGAATGCAGGAATTTCGAACTGAAATTTTTCTTAACAATAGGTCTCATCGATGTTAGAAGGTTCTAAAAGTTTCAGTGAAAACGGATGCATCATTCTCCAAATATTGAATATTGAAGAGAAGTCAATTTTACGACATTTTTTTGGAAAATGGCCGTTTTCATCCATATTCAATATCTGGAGAATGATGCATCCGTTTTCACTGAAACTTTTGGAACATTCTAGCATCGATGAGACCTATTGTTAAGAAAAATTTCAGTTCGAAATTCCTGCATTCACTTTTTCTATAAATTCCTTGTCCAAGGTCGAGAATTCAGTAAAAAGGTCATAACTTTGAAAGAAACGCCTAATGGCATGAAATCTTTTAGGCTTTTTCTAGTCTCACTGGGTCCTACTTATGAGCACAATACGAACCCGAATGGTTGGAATCACTTGAAAACCTTCCCTCGTAAGTGAACTATATTTTATATATAGATAGATATTCATACACTAACGACATCTTCAACGGGACTCTATTTTTATTACATTTAAATCGAGCAATCAACTGTACGATGCACTATTCGTCGTAGTTCTTTGTCAATTAAAAAGGCAAGAAGTATTGCAAAAGCAGCTAGAAATTAGTGGAAAATTTTTTATTTTGGTTTTAGATAATCAATCCGAGTCAAGTTTTGTTAATAACCGAAAATGTCTATTGGAGTACCAATTAAAATTTTACATGAAGCTGAGGGTCATGTTGTAACGATTGAATCAGTTACATCCGAAGTTTATCGCGGTAAACTAATTGAAGCAGAAGATAATATGAATTGCCAATTATCAAATGTAACTGTTACCTATCGTGATGGACGACAAGCACAATTAGAATATATCTATGTTCGTGGATCAAAAATTCGATTTATGATCTTTCCTGATATGTTAAAGGTAAGAGTAACGCTTTTGTCAAGAACTGTGTAATTGATAATATTTCTTTTTTTATCCTTTAAGAATGCACCAATGTTTAAAAACATGCGTGGTGTTAAAGGTGGTGCCGGCCGTGGCAAATCAGCTATTTTACGTGCTCAAATTGCTCGTGGACGAGGAGCTCGTGGTCGACCACCCATGAATTCATTTGTTGGACAACCAGGTGGCCGTGGTGGTGGACCACCAGGCAGTGATCGTGGTGGTATGGGTGGTGGCCGTGGTCGAGGTGATCGTTAAACATGGTTCGACCATAGTTAAGTCAGATCTAGCCGATTTTTTTTAAAGACGTTATTCAAGACGATCCTTTAAGTGTTGTTGTTGTTTGTCGTTCCTCTATGTTTTTGCTCTGTGAAAAAAGAGAATAAAAAGTTATTTCCCAAGAACAAAAACAAATGATTGTCATAAGAAAACAAGATAAAATTATTCTTGGCAATATTAAATTTCATTATTCTCATGTGATTTATTTCTATAGAAGCTAATTTTCTTAGAATTTTGTCTGTCTTGATGAATATATACATGAAAAAACAAATAAGAATGTATTCATTTCTTGCAATTCAATTCTTTCTTTTATTGATAGAATTGCAGATTTGTATAGACTTTTATAATCATTTTTTACAGAAAACCTAATAAATATATTCAATGTTATGTAGAGAAGACATCGCTTGTTTCTATAAACAAATCATAATAATACTTTTATGAAATTGTTAGATTAGATTTGATGTAGAACTTCCATTTTATAATCTGTCTTCTGACAGACCACGTAGACTCCTCCAAGGTCTTTTTTTCGTCACGAATAAGCTTAAACAAGATGAAGAAAAAAGACACATCATTGCCGATTTTTAATATGATGATAATTCTCGACATGTCATCTTAGATAAATTTATTTTTTTATTTTTCGTGTCTGGTTTTTATCAACTATAACTCTTAGATGAACTGTAGAATGTTTGACTATGACGTTTTTACCAGTAATATCAACATATAATTAGTTTGTAAAATGATTGATAGTATTCTTTGGAGTTTTATTTCATTGCTGATGATATAAGTTATTCTTATCGAAAAAACAATGAATAATATGATTAATGTTACATCTTTCCGTCGTTGTATTCAGAGGCTTAATTTAACATCGACGGCAGGAGGCGTTGCATTAAGAAGTTTCACGTGCAGAGTACGTCATGCTATGTCGCCGCTAGTTACGTGTCTGTTTCTTTTGATAATTACAACATGTACATTCATTTGTTGAATGCACGTAACAGTTCATAAAGGAAAGAACTGTTTTGTCCGATGAAAAAAATTGTCACACATGGTTTTATTCATGAAATATAGTTATAAAAAATTGGTCATTCAAATTCTAGAAATTGAATAAACATTGTTAATCTCTTGAGTTGTCACAGAAAGTAATTATTTATGCTCGGAAAAGTGTTTTAGGAAAATTAGGCCCCGGACAGATGCGTCCTATTGATATTTCATCATGAAAATAAATCTGAATATGAGGATAACGACCACGAATATCATTGACTAAATCCAAACCAGATAATATTTGTACATCGGGCATTATATTATCATTAGTTTTGTTACGTGAAAATTCAATTCCTATACAAAAACCATTTGGGTTGCCTTTATCAGCAAGTATTGAAGTAGGTGAAACAACACCAGCATGCCAAGCTACATCGGTTTCACTTACCATTTGTGTAACTGTACCATCTTGTTCAACAACATAATGACTTGAAACTTTACTAGCTGGATTTAGAAACCATTCAATCGTTCCACCTCCCGCTGTTCCATGAAGAACAAGACCCTAGAAACAAAAGTTTTACTGCAAATAAAATTTGAATTCATGTTGAAATTTTACACAAATAGGTACTGGCCGACCAGTTTTATAATTAGGAGAGACTACTTTTTTTGCTTTGGAATAATCAACTTTCCAATTATTGTTTGCTACTTAAGAAAAAAATCGTATATGAAACACAAACTGTTTGTAAGACAAAATAATTAATTTGCATTTCAATAAGTTATATTTGTACAAATTACAGATCACTTACATAAAATAGAAGAATTATTGTTATCCTTCGTTATCGGTTTTGCTTGTGTGCTCATTATAGGAAGAAAGAATTTTGTTTTTGTTCTTTATTGTATTAATATTTGCTTTGATTTTGTTTCTGTCTTGACTACGTATGCATGATTACTCACATAATACATTAACGTTAATGTATAGAATATCAAAATCATCGAAAACAATCTTAAAACAATATTATTTTTTGTATTTTTGAAAGAAATACCAAGCCAACACACTGCAGAGAAACCATTTTTGTGTTTCAGATATCTGAGTAAAAATATTGCTCGGATCGATTCCTTAGTCAATGCGACCTCTGTTTGTTCCTTCTCACTATTGGAGTTTTTCATCGAGCCATTTGTCTTGTCGTTCACCTCGTCTGGTTTTTATGAGAACATCATGATTTCTGTTTTTTTTTGTTCTTCATATATATATATTAATATTTCTTTTCTTCTCCTTTTTTTGTTCGTTGTTCTTCAGTGGTTATACTTATAGTAAACATTATGAAATAATTACTTTCAGATTGAAACCTTATTTTTATAATCTATTATTTTATTCAATAAAACTTTTATAAATTTTTCTAAACGAAAAGCAAGCAAAATAAATCATGGTTATGCCACTGTCAAACTCGAAATTACGTATTCCAAAAGGCTTTCAAAGTCTTTTAGTTGGTCTATCGACTGAAATTCTTCGAAGTCAACCAAAAAATATTCATGAATTTGCTGCTGAATATTTTGAAAAATTGGTTCACCGAAGAGGTAAGAAAAGATTTTTTCTTTGTGCTTGTTTCGTAAACGTCAACGTTATAAATAATATCATTTAAAATTTAAAAGAAAAATAATTTTCCATTAGATATTCCTTTTTATTTGATGGCAACGATTTGTCATACTGATTTTTTTTCTCTTAATAATTTTCTGTATAGAAAGCAAACTAGAGATCTTGAAAAGCATTAGTTTTGATTCGCGTGAATAAATCGCGTGAGAATGTTTATTGGTGAAAAATTTCTTTTCTTAACTACAGATTACACGCTAAGAAACTGCCGGATGAAAATCATCGCCAATAATATTTTCATATTGAAAGACTTCAGTCGAGTAGAAGTTCTCTGTCAACATCATACATAGAAGATCATTCACTTGGAAAACTTCTTCTGATACCGAGAAATAGTAATAATGGCGCTGATGATTTGTGGTTCGTCTTCGCCGGATGTATGCATGCATATGTTTGTCGTAAGTATCATGATAGCTACCATTATCGATTGATGTTTATCCTTCTATCATTCTTTTTTTTTTTTATCTCAATGACTTTATATGCCTGGTGTGTATCAGATTTCTAGTTTGATGACAGTTCGCCATCTGTTAACTTGTTATCATTGTTCATGCACATAATGTGCTTGATTTATATGTTTATGTATGATTGTCTATTGGTGAAAATAGTAGTTAGCGTATACAATCGAATCATTCTCGAAGACACACATTAGAAAAGAAGAGACACATATAATACAGAATTATTTTGTTGTTTGTTAGCATTTGACTATCGGATGCAATTCGCTTTCCTTCCCTCCCAATCAATTATTCATATGATGAAAGAAATGCAAAAAAAAGCAATAAGTATGGATTCATATAATTGTTCGAGTACAGATAATATGCATCTGTTTAAAACTAAAACTGGCAGTCTCGTTTTGACTACTCTATTTTTCTATTCATGTTCATCTCTCTCTTCTCCCTCTCTCTCTCTCTCTCTCTCTCTCTATGTATATGCTTATATATGAAGATTAGATCAGCATAGAAGAAAATAAGGCTGAGTAATGCCCCATGAGATTATAATACATAGCGGATCAAAGTCATAGTCGAAACGAGCAAAAAAGAGGCAGAAGGAAAGCAGCGAAAAGAAATTGGTACCACTCAGCCTCAGGCATATATGTAACGTATTTTAAAATGACGAGAAAAAAGAAACTTTTACTACTACTTTTCTTTTTTCTCTCTCGACTCGACCAAGCATCCTCGACTTATGAATGCATAGCAGGCAACAGCTTGCGTGTTAAGGAAAAGTTCATCAATCTGATACAGAAGAAATAATTTCTCTTGTTTGCTTATTCTTTTCTTTTTTTTTGGCTACTAAATACAGAAAATAAGGGAAAGAGAAACCACAAGAAAGGAAGAAAAAAAGAGGAGAAAAAGACGAGTAAAAACAGCGCTAATGACAAAATACTCTCTTATTGTAACTACGGCTGCTCTTGCATCTACTACTTATTCCATACGTTTACCAACATCGACTAAGACGGTCTAGAAAGCAGAAAGAAAAAGGGTAAGACGTCATCGATAAGAAAATGGGTGCATGTGCATCAAAAACAAACAAAAACAAACAAAAATACCTGAAGAATGATGTGATTGACACCGGTAATAATAATGATAATAATAACACTAATAACAACAAAAAGGATTCAATTATTGGACAACCACAACAAGGGCAATCGCCGGCAGCAAATGTCGATAAATTTGCTAATGTACCATTTATTGATTCGGAAGAAAAGTTAACTACAGTTACGCCACCGTCAGCAACATCTCCATTATTAACAGAACAAACAATGCCACCTAATCATGATAAAGACAACGATGAACGAACAACCGTCAAAACAAACTTTGAGACAAATGCCTCCTATTCAAATACGGAAACAATTGAAAAGCTTAAACAAGAAGTATATACATTTCTTCGTGAAAAAATATTTCCAATTAATGAAGAGAAACAAAAACTTATTGATTATATAAACAAACGAATTACTGGAAGTTTAACAGAGAGTACAGCAATAGATGAACAACTCAAGGAATGTTTTGATGATATTGAGCAACATAAACATCCTAATAGTGATGAAAATAATAAGATAAAAAATCGTTTAATGAATTTTATAACTGTTTATGTAGCATCACAATCATCAGATAACTCCTTTTTAAAAGCACTTTACGATAAATTGGGATCATCACTTGATCTCAATTCATTGAATGCTGAAACCACTGAACATGAAACTGTCAATGTAACAGTCAAAAAAACAGTACGACAAGTTTTTGTTGATGCTTCATCAACATTAACGCCAAATTCGAATCCGAATTCAACACAAAATACACCCGAAAATGTTATTAATCTATCAAATAATGAACATAACATTCCGACTGATTTACCGGATGATATACGACGTAAAGCAGAACAAGTATTGAATAGTTTTAATGATGTTATACATGCAAAATAAAATAACAACTTCAATAGAACAATAGTCTTTTATTTTAATTGCTTTTATGTGCTTAAAACTAGTATTATAATAATTATTATTATTATAATAATAACTATTCATCCTTTGTCTTTTTTTTTCAAACACTTTTTTGTTGTTTGTCTTGACTGTCCTTAGCTACGTATATGTGTATATGGGACATAGATATCAATGAGGAAGTGCTATGACACTTTAAAATAAAATAGAGAGCTTTTATTTCTCTCAATGATCTATCAGGAAAGTAAATCAAGAAACAATTAATAATCAAAAATATCACAGTTTAAAAAACACTTCACAAGTGTACTTTGTCACTATTCTACTTCATAGCATCAATTCTGCACAGATTAGACATTAATAGAATAAGAAATAGTCACATGAGCTATTCTTTTCAGATAATTAGTTCTATGTTTTGAACCTATAATAATATATTAATAGAATTTAATGTTAGATTTATGGGTACGTATACACAATAAAAGTTCGCTCGCGTTGTAGATGAAGATGAAAGATTCGATATTATTCTTTGCTATTGTTTATGAATAAAAATCGTTAGAAAAAAAATCTTAATACTATTGACAACAATATTTGCATGAAAGGAAATACTTTTGATTAATTCCGCTTTTGGTCGGTTTGTTTTATTGAAAAGAAAGATTTTCATATTCAACCAAGCAATTCTAAAAATATCTTACACTAGATAAAGCTTGAAAATAATTTATTCTTTCGCAGAAACAACAAACGGTTATATTTTTAAAAAAAATGCATGTTATGAATCGTTTAGATCAAGGGCAAATGCATTCATCTGATCAACAAACAGCTCTTGAAGATCGCTACTACAACAGTCAAAATTTTGAAGTTTGTACTACTTTTTTTTAATTAGATCATATATATATCAAATTATCTAAACGTCACTTTAGCGCATAAAAAGAAACTGAATATTAACACTATTGTATATCACACTATAAATGAGTATAGAAAGTTCATATTCATAAGATAACCATTCAACAACGACAACAAAATAAATGTGGAAACTTCGGATTTCATCCGAGAGTTATGTGTACTGCAAAAAGTGCATGGGACATATGAGTCATTCTAGAATGTCTGAACACTAAAATTATCATAAAAAACTAGGCAATTTGATTTCTGGATGCAGTTTTTGTGCATTTTGAGACGTTTTTCAGGCGATGTTTCGTTAGAAAGCTACGGTTTAGTTCAAAACTAACACCAGATTCAGAATCAGCGTTAAAAGCTGAGATGATTTATATATGTTGTAGATAATTCTGAGAAAAAAGTTTTTTTTGAAAAATCCCTGTACTTCTCCTCAGGGATGGTCTGATCAAAAATGACAATTTTTTCGATAATTCAGTCATTTCTTGACGGATCCTTCTCATCTTCGAACTCAAACTAGATACTGATGAGACAATTCTGTGCACAAAATTTCAGCTCAATCGAAATGTAATTGTGAAGAGTTATCGAACAAACGGACGGCCGGACGCACTGACCGATTCTATAGTGTACTCTTTCTTTTTTTTGAGTATGCAAAAACATACTGCGCAATCTTAGTATTAACTTTGATACGTAATTTTAAGCATCGATCGTTTCTCGAAAGTAATTATTTATGTGTCTAGTACTACAAATAGAAGCAGTTCTTTTTCTACGAATAATTTTCTTACAGTTTCGTATTAGTGTGATGAAATTTATATTCACATGTTTAAATTTTATCTAACGGCTTTCTGTTGAAAAATGTTTTAGTCTTTCTTGAGAGGTAGATGAATGGATTAGTAATTATAATATCATTTCCTATGATTCATTTACGATTACTTTCTCCAATGAAGGATAAGGATAATACATAGTTGGATTACTTTCTGTTTAATGGTTTTCTTAGGAATATAGACAATAAATAAATCCTTCCTCACTAATAAGGGACAGGTTATCTTCTAAAATTAAACTATCACTATGATATTCAAAATTTTAGCACTATAAATATTGTATTTAAATTGTACTATACTCTCTAGGATGAATATCCAATTAATGATCCTGAAGTAGCTCATGCGGCAACGAAAATTCAAGCACAATTTCGGGGACATAAAGCAAGACGAAATCTGGAAAAAATGAAACAAGAAGTTTGTAGAAAATCTTGTTCTGTTTTCCCTCGTATAATAAATCAATTTTTATATTAAAATCAGCAACCGACTGAAGACGAACAATATCAAGTAATTATTTTAGAAATTAAATTTTTTAACTATAATAATTATTATTATCATTTAGAAACCATCATCTTTACCTATTTCAGAATTAAAACAAGAGGAAAATAAGCAATACAAAGTAAATTTATCCAAGACACAGAGAGAAGAAGAAGAAGAAAAAAAAACATGCATAATCTTTTGTTGTAGGGTTTCGAAGAGGAAGAGGTTTCGGAGGAAGAAAAACGTCAACTCGAACGTGCAGCTCTATCAATTCAAGTTTGTTTAGTTTTTCTTTTAACATGTTTTTAGTGTATAATTTTAATTTTCTAGGCGCAATTTCGTGGTTTTCAAGTTCGAAAAACTCTTCGAGACACACCGGATAGTACAAATGAACAAAACGACAGTGATTATAAACAACAACAACAACAACAACAACAACAGGTATTCTTCTATTAGAAAGTGATTTGTATTGATTGCAGAAGAAAAAAAGACTTACGAAAATAGATTGCTATGCTAAGATAATCTTTACTGAATTATTTCTATTCTGAAAACACCATTTTTTTTCTTTATGATTATTGCTAACTCAATTGAAAACGAAAGGATAATTTATTTTTCCTTTCTTCTTTCTGTTTTCTCATCCTTACCAATAAGTATTCATTTAAGAAAAAAAATAAATCATACTTTTATTTTTAGGAATATGACAATAATCATGACAAAACATCAACACTATCATCAAGTCGTATTAGTGATCACCGTGATCTTGGTGAAAATCTCCGATTACATCATGAGATTGAAGTTGGTGAGTACATATACATGATTTTTCTATGTCTTATTCTTCTTCAACAGAAGAAATAATATTTTTTTGTTGTTGCTTTCTACTATTTTTTTACATTACCATGATAAATCACCGTATCTATACACATAAAGAAACAGTTCAGTACCGGAAGTCTGTAGGTTCTCTATTTCCCTGCTGTTGTTGTTGAAGAAGAAAAGTTTCATTTGCGGATGATATATGGACAGGGAAACATTTCTCGCAGCACAACATCATAGCTTATCGATAGAAGAAAAGGGAAAAGACGTAGGATATCAGCAGGATGCAACTACAAGCAACGTTGTTTATACTCTTTGCATTCTATCGACAGGCAGACAGATAGATAGACAAAAAGAAAAAAAGAGAATCGCTTCTTAAGAAAATCATAGCAATATACTGGTGCCTACATCTGTTCATACTTCATTGATAAGGTTTTGCCAAGGTAAGCGAATATTTAGTCTTCGTCTATCCTGATAATATTAAAGAAACTAATTAATGACTTCATTATGATGAGAATCGATTACTTGTAATTGAATATTTTTATTTTCATAATAAAAAAAAGAACAAATAAACAATAGTAGTAATTATTATTATTATTATTATTATTATTATTATTATCTAGATGAAAAAAATCATTTTGATATATTGTTACGTTTTTTGATCTTTTTTTTCCAATGATTATTACTATAATTCTTACGTAGTAGTACATATTATGCTCATTTGATCATCGATAATATACCTTCTCTTCTGCTTAATTATTTCGAAAATGTACACTAGCTTCGTTTTACGCTAATCTTTTGTCATTAAGGCGATTACACATGATGCAGAAATATTTTCATTCTTTCCAGTTATATTGAGACATCGTTAGCTACACTAGGAAAATCATCGGACGAGTAAAAGAAAAAGAAGACGTTATACAGTTCTGGATTCGTATAATTGTCTGTGAAAGAAACAGTTTTCAGCTTTGATCATTGACGTTGTTGTATAATGTGTTAAAAACACTAGACTATCTGACATTCGCTCTGTTGTTGAAGAAAATGTGTCTTTGATGCACTAGATATCGTTGGCATTTGACAGTATTTGTACGTAGAATCGCTCTAGCTGATAATCGATCAGATGAATTCTATCGATTTATCTTAGATAGGAAGTATTCGAGAGGTTAGAAATGACGTCGTGCCAAATCAAATTATATGCCTATAAGTCGAAGTAGAAAGGTCATTATCTATAGAAAAGCAAAAAAATTAATCAACCGCAATCACCAGGAAAAAAAAACACAAAACAATTCTATGACAAACATCTAAGGATAAAGGCAAAGAAATAAGTATTAACAGAAATAGTAAATGTTATTGATTATCAACAAATATGAATAGTTGCTTTATCTCAGATTTATTATCTTATTTAAATAATTATTTTAGACAAAAGCAACGATATTGATCGGTCACATATTGAACGTGAGCCAACATCATCAAGTCAAGATTTTGAACGACACCAAGGAATATTCCACGATTCAAATTTTAATCGAGAACAACAAGGAGATAGTTTCAACGACGACGACGACGATATGAGTGATCCAAATCTTGATAAAGCGGCTACACGTATTCAAGCTTCATATCGAGGTTATAAAATTCGAAAAGAATTAGGTTCCCCAACTGGTGGTCATCCAAATATGGGTCATGATCAACAACATCCATCATCAACATCTCCAGAAGCACATAAAGAATTTGATGATGCTCGCAATAAAAACAGTATGTTTCGTTTATTTATATAAAATTTTATATTCTTGATTCAGTTTTATCGCCATCAGCTGAAGACAATAAAGTACCAGAAGAACATGAAGAGGAAGAAGATAATGCAGCTGCTGTTAAAATTCAAGTAATAGAAAGAAGCAACAAAAAAACCTAATCATCACAAATATTTACATATCACTTGTTTTTGTTTTTGTTTTTCATTAGGCTGCTTATCGTGGTTATCGAGTTAGAAAAGATTTGGAAAAATAAAAGTATTGTATTGATGTACGTTTAAATAATGAAATGGATTCCACACATTACAAAATAAAAACTAAGTTCACTTTAATTTTATCGTTTATTTTCGTTTGTTTTCTTTTTCTAGTCTTAAAAACACGATCTATTGTGTTATAAGATTGCGCATGTGTTTGTCTTAAATTTTACAACAAATCTTGCTTTAGTATATGTATATGTCATATTTGTGCGTTTCACTTGTGCTTCCTCATTTTTACTTCTTACATTCTTGTTCTTTTTTTTCTGTCTTTTACAGTACACAAGTGTTTCATACGGAAATAATTTTAAATATTAAACTTAAAATAAGTTCTTAAATGAATCTAGAGACTAAAAGCAAGTTAAATTTAAAAAAATAATATTACAATTAAATAAAAAAAACTGACTGTGGTAACAGACAGAAACAGTCGACATTTCATCCACTCATCCGTTTGATTATCAACACAAGTTGCTGAAAGGTACTAAAATCCGAAGGTTATCTCGAATTAAGTTGCGTTAGAGATGGATGCATAGTAAATTGCACGAGTATTTTGCTCCAAAATGTTATAAATTATATGAAAATGATCATTCATCTGTATTTTATGAGTGATTCTCATGAAGAAATGCTCCCAATGGCCTAATCACTCTTCCTTTAGAAATGTTGCCATACGATTAACGCCGATAGGAAAAACAGTTTTATTTTAATATAATTTCTAGGTCCTTTTTGATTGCTTCGCTGATAATCACTTGTTTCCTTCATTCGGTACATAGAATCTGTTGGAAGAGAGAGAGAGAGAGAAACAGATGATCAAATTTATTTTTTGAAATTTCGGTAACTTCATGTATATCAGTAAAGTAACGTCGCAAAGAAATACTCTTCTTTCGAAATACAAAGCACAACAAAAGATTTTTTTAACATGTAAATAGCTTAGCGAACGGATAATCGTCGCTGCTCAAAATTTGTTCGTATTCCTAGTGATTATAAGATCTATTTATTTAGTAAGTTTCAGATTACAATTTGATTATCTTAGTTCACGGAGATTCTTTGTTCATAAATTAAAATTAAGTGAAACGTACATTACACAAAGTAAAACCATATGGAATTACAAGTATGATCCAAGACACTGATTGCATTTTTTAGATAACTATATTACTTACAAAACATCGACATCTTTTTATTTTTATCTGATCTAAGTCATAAACGTATAATGCTACCTAGCTAAATTGTTCTAGATTATGAGATATATTTTCGTATTGTTTATTGCCACATGCTAGATTGCAAGATGATCGTTTGTGCTGGCGTACTGGCTGACTGCTATTCATCAATCATTGACGATCAAGTTTTTGCTTGTAGTATTTGGCAAAATACTAATTAATTCGCTAAATATTTACATTTTACTATACATCAATCTCCAACACACATATATATCGAGTACTTCGCTTTGAAATTTGCTTGTAACTCTAGACGACAAATTTTCAAGCATTACATATGAATATATTTTGATAAAATTGCGAAAGATCCATGATTTATCGAACACCTGTTACATATAGTTTGAACATTCATAATAAATCATCAACGCAGATGGTAAACATATAGATGATGATGATGATGGATTGACCATGGACAAAGTTGTTTACACGTGACTCATACAAATAAATAGTCACTAGACTTTACTCTTACTATCAAGGATCAGTCGATTCGTTTACGGCATTTCTAATAAAACATATCAAGTGTCTTTGTTTGCTAAAAGGCTATAAAAGTATATTCACTCTTCGGAAAGAACGATTTATTAATATTTCAGTAGATTTATCATCTAGATATTCTAAGCTATCTATTTCAAAAACAATAATATAGGTTTTTCTTTACTTGATAAAAAAATCAAGATAATGGGCAATGAAATCTGATCAATTTATTATATAAAAAAAGAAGTATTTTTTTTGTTCTTATTATGATCTTGACATGTAGAAGTAAATGGTTCATTTGTCTAGGAGAAGTTGAACTCTATAAAGTTTAATCAAATCAATATAACCATCTTGAAGAACGAAGTTGATCGCACACAGTAGCTCTATGTAGTTTTTATCGATGACGTTTCATATATCATAGCGGCGAGAAAAGAATACTGTTTACAAGATATAATTCAGAATGATGGAAAATTAATATTCGTCATACATATTGATTAGAGCTGATTATATCATTGACAAGTATGTCGAGGTGTCAGTTGGAAAATAGCATGGAATATAAACATTATCATCTCTTCAGATATTTGTTGGTATTGGGAAAAGTAATACTTTTGTGTAAAGGTGACGTTGACAGGGGAATGTGTGGAATGTATTATTTTGTTAGGTATGTCTTCGTGTTATTTCCTTGTTAATATAATATATTATGATCCTATTCGTATACGTAATTAATTGTTGTGACCAAACTTCAGTTTTATCAAAGAAGCATCGGACGAAAAACCTCATTGGTTAGAATCAGAGATGGGCAAGTCAGCGTTTTTTCGACTCAAGTCAAGTCAAGTCAGTTTCTGAAAATTTCAAGTCAAGTCATAGCTAAGCCAAAGAAAATTCCAAGTCAAGTCAAGTCAAGTCAAGTCAATTTGAATCATAATTCATTCAAAAAATCATCAGGTGAAGTCATTTTTTGACTTGACTTGCCCATCTTTGATTTATTATTTGTATTTTTCTTCTACATTTCAAATTAGAGTTCAAAAATTCAATTAATAAAAGTTCTCTATACATATAATTTTTGACTTGACTTGACCCGATTCAAGTCATTTTTTGACTTGACTTGCCCATCTCTGGTTAGAATTCAAAATCTGTTTATAGTAGTTGGAAGTTACCTTTTTTGGATGGCATCGAAGGCAAAATTTCAGCAGTCATGTCATATATGTAGCTTATACTTTCATAATGGACTTTCAACACAATTACAAAACGGATTAATATGATTCATATTTAATAGCAGTCATTAAATATTTATACAAACAAAAAACATACTACTATTGAGATTAAGTACGCCGATGTTGCTATCTATTGCATATTTCACCAAAATATATTTGTAAAAATGAATTACATACTGTAAGAAAATATTTACAAGAACATTTTGTGATAGTCAAAAGTCTACGCTGGATAGATGAAAGCTCTTGCATACAATGCAACATTGAATCAAAATGTGATGATCGACGTGCTTCAGCTAACAAGCAAATAGTTCATTCAGATTTTTCTTATGTGACCAAGGCAATCTTTAATCACATAAAATATCTATAATAATAACAGAAAAAAAAGAGTTGCTTTTATCGAGTTTCAATCATAGGCTATGTCTCTAATTCTTGTTGAAAATAGAAAAGCCTATGTTTTCTAATGTATCATCATTTACTACATTCATATAGAATCTATATAAACACCATCGTCAATATCGATGATGGTAACTATTATAAACATATATCAAATGTGAAATCATCCGATCTACTATTATTTGACTCCATCGTGTTTGTCATGATGAGGATTTGAAAGGTAAATAACGATCGTTGAAGAGCATGTTCATTTTCACTTATGTCTATGTAGATCATTTTAACGACGCATACACACTATGAATACAGGATGGTGCATGCTATTAGTCATTGAATGAAGGCAAAGAATCACAACAAAAACACAATATATTTTCCTATCAATCGAATTCTATTTTCGTTCAAGTTAAAAGAATAGGTAAACAAAAAGCGCATAACGACAATAGCGAGTTATTTACACAAAATACAATCGATAGAAAAAAAAAAGTGTAGTAATATAGAGACCAATGTAAAATGAAACCTAGACGCGCAGCTTAACACTAAAGACGAGAGAAGCGTTACGTCGCATGCACAACCTATAGGTTACACTTTTGACGAAATTTATTAAAATGTATTCTATAATATAAAAATTTTGTCCATTTTCTATTCTTAACTTTCATGGTACTTAAATTTTCGAGGGAAATAATTCATATAACAATAATAGATGAAGACACAACTTTACTAAAACATATCTTTCAATTAGTATCGTATTTCCCGGTCGATTCTTTTATGTTGAATAGTTTTTGTGTAGTTTATCAAACATTTGAAAAAATTCATTTAATTTTTATAACATAACAAAAATGAGATTAGACGAGCATGTGCAATAGTATATTACGATTAGATAACATTCAAACAATCACAAGCAAATGGCATACTAATAATTGTATGAAAAGCAACGATTATGGCTTCACAAAAAAAAGCAAATTCTCATATTTCTTGTCTTTATATAACACATACTAGACAACAATCATTGAGTCAATAGAACTCTTAACTTAATAAACGGTTTTTCTTTTGTACTATGACTTATGGTCAAGAAATAGGTATGATTGTTTTCGTACAGCTTTATTAACACTGAAGTTGTCAAGAAAAATATTGTGGTTCAAGAATGAAATTCATGTTCAAGCGAAACAAAAATTTTTTATCAAACCAATTATTAACGACCTCTATGGAACATATGTCTGATTCCTCATCCGTTTAGTATTACTCGATCGAGGGTTTTCAAGGTTGGATGGTTGAGAAGAAACAGAACAGTCAGAGAAACAAGTTAAATTTGAATTTTACGAACACTATTCATCTATACATCTCACACAATAGGATCATGTTTCACTTGTACTGTAATGCTTCTATCTACTTTTAGCCTACAATGCATATTCCATCATCTAATCGACCTTGCATTCTATTCAATATAATGATTTTTTTTCTTATTAACACCGCTATCGAATAGTTTCAATACAATTGACATTTATCATGCCAGCATCTGATCAACAATTGCATTCGTTTAATCAGGATTTTATTTCTTCATTTTCACCATTATTTCCTTCAAATATACATAAATCAAGTTTAACTATATCACCTGAACAAATACAGTTATCAGCATCAACTACAGTTACATTAGCATGGAATATTCATGATCATATACTAACATCAAATGATACAATCGGAATATTTCTACCAGGTATATAAATAAATGAAAACAATCAATTAACTTAGTTCTTTAAATTCTATCTAGATAAATTAATTTCCAATGATGTTATCGAAAATGTATATACAAATGTAAATGCTTTAAAAATTGGACAATATCATTGGCACTGTACACAAATTTTAATAGATAAATTAGTTAATTGTAAATTAAAAATTTATCATTTGAATTCTCCACATTTATTTATTTGTCTATTTAGCTAACACTGTGTGCTTTCAATATTATAATCCTGCTACTGGTGAAATAAAGGCTCAATCATCTTCTATACCGCTTATTCATGATGATGATAATAATAATGATAATATACCAAATATTATGAATGTAGCACGACCAATATCAATAAAAATTTATGGTATGAAACACAAAACGAAAAGAGAGAAAAATTTATTTTTCAAATTATGAACTCTACTCACTTACGTTTCTTTAGATCTTCATGCAACAAATTTACATCGTGGTGTATTTTTTAAACCTGATCCATACATAAAAGTATCATTGATAACTGGTCAACTTCATAAACAATTACGAACATCATCTCATTTTCATAATCAAGAAAAACGAACAAATGTTATACCGAACACAGTAAAACGTTTTTTGAAATAGACTATCTATGAATCTCATGTTTTTCATCTTCTCTCTCTCTCTATATATATATATACATATTAGTGTCATCCTAAATGGTATAATCAATCGTTTACATTTCAAACATTTTATACAGATCTATTGGAATTTGAAGTCAAAGATAAATTTGTTAAAACACGACCGACAATGAATCGTTTTCTTGGAAAATTAACTATTCATGTTGGATTTTTAATTGATAAATTAAATAAAAAGTATGAAATCAAAAATCTTAATGTTTATTTTTGAAAATAAATTGAATTGCCTTTCTTCTATTTAAGTACAACAACGTATGTTTTTAATCTTCAACGACGTAATTTTTCCGATCATGTTAGTGGATGTTTAATGTTCAATGCTGCCATAGTTAGAGGTTAGTTTCTAGATATTCTTTTCAAGTTTCTTAATAGATAAATTCTAGCTGAACTACAAACAATAGAAAGACCATTACCGGATGTCAGTCCAATAGCAAATGTCAATCAATCAGAGCAAGAAACTATTCCAGTTAACGGTAATAAACATTATAAAAAAATGTATCTCGAGGCAATAATCTTTTTTTCAATTGAAAAATATATAATGAGTATGCTATCGTTACACTGCATAAGTTTTAAACGAATTTTTACACATAAGACATAAGCTATTCATTAAGTATGAATGAATTAAAACTAAAATCTAATTAAAACGATATAAAATTTATTACAAACACTCATGGTCAAGATAAGCATTAAAATTTGTAGTAAAAAAAATTTCAATTTCCTTTAGACAATAATGTTTCATCAATAAATGATAGTGAAGAAAGAATAAATCATGTTTCATCCGAAGAAAATGTATGTTAATATTTGCATTTTTTATTTTCTATACGAAGAATTAATTATTATTTCTTTTTTCGATAGAATACATCTAATCAAGTTGATGCCTCAACATCTCTCATATCAAATGATCAATCGTTAGATTCATCGACAACATCACTAGTAGACGAATCATTATCAACAGTTTCCGATCATACTATTATAGGTATTTTCTATTAGCCTCCTGTAGAGACCTCCGTTCCGTCCATATATATATATATATATATATATATACGTCGTCTAATTGCCTTGAGAGGCTGCTGCTACTCTGTATATGATTATGTAAGANTTTTAGTTATTTTCTATTAGCCACCTGTAGAGACATCCGTTCCGTCCATATATATATATATATATATATATATACGTCGTCTAATTGCCTTGAGAGGCTGCTGCTACTCTGTATATGATTATGTAAGATGATTGGGAAGGAGTATGAGTCGAAGGTGTTGACAGACGTCGCGGCCGAACTTATTTATCTCTTTCGTCTCTATATGTGAACATGCATTAGATGCAATGATGCCATTTAATGGAAAAGAAAGCGTATGTTTTATGGATCAGATTGATCTTTTTATCTTTCTATTCCTTTTTTTTTTTTGAGACCTTATTTTCATTGACGATATTAACAGTACTCGTTCATTTTCTTTATCTTATATATATATATATATATAAATAGACGATGAAACAACAAATGANGTTTTATTGCTCAGATTGATCTTTTTATCTTTCTATTCCTTTTTTTTTTTTGGGACCTTATTTTCATTGACGATATTAACAGTACTCGTTCATTTTCTTTCTCTTATATATATATATATATATACATAGACGATGAATCAACAAATGATGCTAATCAGATGTTGTTGAATATTTCTTCTAATCAACCTAGAATAACTACTAGTAGTACTATTCTAACGCATTGTTCTTTATTATCATCATACCAAGGACATGATGAAGAACAAGAAGAAATAAACGAAGACAACATCGATGACAATCAACAACGTCGACGAAGTCAAGAAGAAGTACACACGTCAACGCATAATTGCGATGTCGGATCAACTAATGTCGTTGTCCCTTTCACGACAAAAAAGAAACTAAAACACTGTTATTCATCGTCGACCTTACTTCCTTCACTTATCCCACGTTCGTCAAGTACAATACCGACTACACCGACGAAAGCAATGCTTCGACATCATCATCAGCATTCACATCATGATACCTATCGAACATTACAATTGCCTGTCAATTCAACAAATAAATTGTTACTCATAACATCTAATAGTCAAAATCAATCAATAAAAGCAACAGCAACAGTGTCTGAAAATAATTTACAAAAAACTGGAAATCCAATTCATACTATAACATATAATAATCATCATAATAACAGTAACAGCTGTTTTGATGATGAAAGTGTTCGAACGTTATCAAGAGGTAAGTTGATCTTCATAGACATATTATTGTTGACCTTGACTATTGTTTAAATAGATCAAAATAGAACAAGGCGGAAAAAAAAGAAGATAGAAATTTTTTTCATTATTGACATCAACTCAAATATTCCTAATCCTTTTCTTTTCTTTTCTTTTATGCTGACTTGAGTTTTTAAAATATTCGAAGAAAATAATCGGATTGTAGTTCTGTCTTTTTGCTATAGTAAATTGTAAGATGTATCGGTTTTCTTGATTAGCACTAACATTAATCAGCGTCTTTATTCTTTGGTACGAATGAATGGTATTACGTCGTTCATATGCAATGGTGCCTTTTGTTCTTGCTTGCTCAATCTTGCGCTCCTCTATTCCTTCCTTTATTTCTAAGAAGAAAATGATCTTTCCTCTATGCTCTTTTGAATGTATATGTTTGTCAGTCAACCGACCGGTTGATGATTAAACAAAAATCAAAACGTAGTGAAGTATGATTTTCCTTTCTTTTTTTCTCAACTGTATTATATAATACGAGGAACTCTTTTGAAAAAGATGACAATGTTGTTGATGACGATAATGACTTTTCAGGATCGATTTTTCATTTTTTTCTCAAATGAGTAATTTGTAACATATATGCACTCAGACATTTGTTGATCATAAATTGATCCTTGACCAAGTTTTTTGTTCGTAAAGAAAAGAAACAAAAGAATCTCGTGCATCAATGTTTGCTCTCTTGCCAAATCGTAGTAGTGGTACTTTTATAGAGTTCAACCATCCGATGACATGTGCTAGTCTCATTGACCGATCTTTTTGTTTTGTTCTCTTACTCTTGTGTGTATGCTCATATTTGAATGGGTCATCCGTTCATAGGTTTTTTTTCTTTCTTTTTTATTCTTGTGCTCACCACTAGTCATCAAATAGAGACAGAGACAGGGAGAGAGAGAGAGAGAGAGAGAACGAAAGAGAAAAGATGTTCAATTGTATAGACATCGGGTGAATAAAAATCATTAGTTGCGTACGCATATTGAATTGAATGAAATACGAGAGAATGATTGTACTGTCTCAGCAAATTTTAGATTATGCTAATGGTTTGTTAATTTTTGTATTTCATTTTTGAGATTTACTCTTTCTTATTGTTCTATTTACAGAGCTTCGTCAAGCTGCTCGAGATCTTCATCGTCTTCAATCAAAATATGAACCGCTCCCAGCAACATCTGATGCAAATACTACTACTACTACTACTACTACTACAGATGGCTCATCTGCAGAACAAACACGGTATTCATTATTGAATAATTTCTCTCTAAACTTAAATGTTTCCTTTGATTTGTTTTGTAGAGAATTAATTACACGCGAATTGCAACAATGGCACAAGCAACAAGTATCAAAGTACAAAAATTTAACGACACTATCAAGGAGAAATTCCGAGACAACAACTGAATGCAATTCATCACCAATATTACATAACAAAGAAGCAGATAGTATAAGTGCAGTTGCACTGCCATCAACTGAAGATTCGAGAACAATAGGTTCATCTTCATTTATTGTTACTGAAGAATCAATTATAGTACCACCAATTATGCCGACATCTCTATCAATTACGAATACAAATGATAATTCTATTCATCGAAATAATTCAAGGTTAGAGAAATAATAGATCGCATTTCTCTTTTTTGTTTTACACTTAATAAAAACAAAAAGAAATTAATAGACGGAGATATTTGCTTGAATGAAGGTGTGCACAGTAGTTAATGACAGAATATGGCAAGCGACAAAAAGAAGAAGAAAAATGTCTGATAGACACTTCTGCTGTCTACAAGGTCAGCTATGCCTCGATAGAAAACAGAAATGTTCTCGTTTTTTTTGCTTCTCATTCTGAGATTTTGAAGATTGCTATTCTTAATCGACTTTATATATCAAAGTAAATCATTTGTTTTGAAATTGTTTTCTGTTTCTTTTTGTTCAGGTTAAAAGAATCCGCATTTATGGTTACACTACCACGTAAACCAGTTACAGTTGATACAAGACCTGCACAAACACTAGCAACTGATCCTCCATCACCACCGATAATTAATGCTTCGCCTCCTTTACCTTCCGGGTGGGAAAGTCGAATTGATCAATTTGGCCGACCTTATTTCATTGATCATAATAATAAAACAACAACATGGCAACGTCCATTAATAGTAGCTCATTCAATTGTTCCAAGTCCTCGTCTTCCAATTACGACAACTGCTGCTATTGTCACTACTCCGTTGAATTCATCTCCAACCATTGATCGTGAACGAATGGATAAACGTTATCAAAGTATTAGACGAACAACATCAAATAAAATAGGAAATTCATCTATTGTTGATTCATCGAATGTTATTTCTTCATCTCCTTCGTCTTCTGATAATAATAACAATAATAATGCAAATAATGATGTATCATCATCATCGTCCTCCTCCTCCTCCTCATCAACTTGTTCGCCAGCACAAACAACAGAAGACTATGTTCGTACAACTCCAGCTTTAAAATTTATATGTCGATCAGATTTTTATCAATTTTTTAAAACACATCGGGAAGCTCGTCAAATGACAAAATCCGATTCATTAGCCGGTATTCTACAACGTATACGTCATGATCCGTTACTATTTAAAAGATATCAACATAATAAAGAACTTGTACGTTTTCTTAATTTATTTTCTGATCCAACACGAACGTTACCATCACGTTGGGATGTTAAACATGATGATAGTGGAAAAGTATTTTTTGTTGATCATAATACACGTTCAACAACATATATTGATCCACGTTTACCAACTAGTGATGAAGAGCAACCTGTAGCTGCTATGGCATTACCCTTATCGATTCGAAATGATGAAAATTCAACAACATCTTCTCGTACAAATAAAAAACCACCAGAACTGATTACCATGACATATAATGAAAAAGTTGTTGCTTATATGAGACAAACAAATATATTCGATTTATTAAAAGCAAATCAGGTAAATCAAATTCTTGTCTTATGTTTTTTATTGGAAATAACATGTATTATGATCTGATTTAGCTTGTACCATTAACAAATAAATTACGTGAAAAAATTCAATTAATTCGTAATGAAGGTGTTCGAGCATTGGATACATTATCTAATTCTGTTGATTTAAGTTTGATTATTAGTGTCTTTCATGAGGATATTATGTCGTATATTCCACCATTAACGCAATCAGTTACTGTTACAACATCACATTCAGTTTCATCATTTATTACTTCATCACCAAGCACAACATTTGTTGTTGAACATGGTAAACCATCATCATCATCATCATCATCATCATCTCGACGTTCATCAACTCAACACCCATCATCATCATCATCATCATCACGGCGACCGTGTTTCCAACAAAAATTACGTTCTTTCTATAAAAAACTTGATTCAAAAGGTTACGCAACAGGTCCAGCTAAAACTAAAGTATCCATATCACGAAATAATTTACTTGCTGATGCATTTGAAAAATTTATGAATCAAATTCCGAAAAAGGATTTACAACGAAATAAATTATTTATTACATTTACAGGTGAAGAAGGTCTTGATTATGGTGGACCATCAAGAGAATTTTTTCTACTGATGTCAAGACAATTTTTCAATCCATATTATGGATTTTTTGAATATTCAGCTAGTGATCAATATACATTACAAATAAGTCCTATGTCAAAGTTTAATGAAAATTATACCGAATGGATGCGTTTCGGTGGACGTATGCTTGGTAAGAAAAATAAAATAAAACATACGAATCATTTTTGTAATATATGATATGATTTTACGTAGCTGTAAATAGTAATACAACTATCGACATATTCTATGACATTATTCATTGAAAACTAAAGGTTAATTGCTTTGCAAGATTCTCTTTTTTTAACTATGATATTAACTCTAAACTTGTCAAGGCTATATTTACGAGGGAAATTCGGTAGCTTACAAATTATATTCGATTTGAATTGATGTAAATCCTAATGTATCATAAATAGAAGTAAGAAATTATTGTTATCAGGTGAAAATAAATTCATATTTTTGACGACAGGACATCTATCTTTAGAAAATTCTTCTTCTTCTTTCTTATATAACCTTCAATTAAAGGTCTCGGAGATAGAAACAATCTGTAATCAATTTCTTCAAATTATGTGCTTGATTTCTGTGTTAAGTTATCTTTTATCCAGAGATCGATGATCGAATTTTACGGAAAATGAAAATGTTACTTTTTCAAAATAGCTTTCCCTTGACGAAACTATTAAAATTACAAATGTTCCATTCGTCTTTATTGAATAATGCAACTATAATTGTTCTGTCTCTCTGATTTATGAATGCCTTAAAACGTGTTTGTATTCATAGCTGCTTGCTAATGAGATATTGTACTTTGAGAGGAAACCATAAAATCAATAATCGTAGTTTGTTAATCCTAGAATCAACAACGAAAATTATTATCTTCAATTCTTTCTATCTCTACTAATAATCTATTGTCTCTAAGAGTTATCTTTATATGAAACGTTTTTCAAATGTCCTTCAGTCTGACGAGGAAGATTGATTAAAAAATAAACAATTAAAATGCTAGAAGTTAACAAGACAGTTTTTCTTCGTGATATATATATATATATATATATAAATAAATAAATAAACAAACATGCAGTAGCTACATTGAGAAGCAATCAATCAATAGTAGGGCTTGCCTCGTTAGACATATTCTTATCAATGAATGACGATTCTGATCATTATTTCAAATAATTCTTGATATTTTTTTAGCTGTGGCATTGATAAATCAATACCTAGTTGATGCATTTCTTGTGCGTCCATTATACAAAGCTTTATTACGTGAACATCAATCATTTACATTAGCTGATTTAGAATCTCTTGATCCAGAATTTTATCAATCATTATTATGGATAAAAGAAAATAATGTCGAAAATCAAGATTTATTTTTTTATGTTAATGAAGATCAATGTGGTAAAATCATTGAAAAAGAATTAAAACCCGATGGAAAAAATTGTCAAGTTACCGAACGTAATAAACGTGAATTTCTCGATTTAATTATTAAATGGCGTATTGAACGTGGAGTACAAGAACAAATCGATTGTTTCGTACGTGGTTTTTATGAAATTATCGGTGATCATAAATTAATCTCATCAATGTTTGATGCACGTGAGTTAGAGTTGGCTTTATGTGGCACCATGGAAATTGATTTAAGTGATTGGCGTGTAAATACAGAATATCGTGGTGGTTATCATGCTCAACATCATGTTATTGAATGGTTTTGGTTTTGTGTTGAAAAACGTTTTGATAATGAACAACGCTTAAAACTATTACAATTTGTTACTGGTACATCATCGATACCCTATGAAGGTTTTTCAGCCTTGCGTGGTTCGAATGGACCGAGACGTTTCTGTATTGAGCGGTGGGGTATATCCGATGCATTACCGCGTGCACATACATGTTTTAATCGTCTAGATTTACCGTCGTATACATCCTATGATATATTGCATAATAAATTATTATTAGCTATTGAAGAAACAAATACATTTGGAATCCAATAGTTTTTTTAAAATTAGTTATTTGTTTGCCTTTCTCCTTTTTTTGTGATGCTGGTCATTGATCAAAACAGGAAAAAATGTTTCTTTTTTTGTTTGATTACTTTTTCTTTTTGTTTTTCTTCAGTAGTCATTTTGCTCATACAGTGGCATTATTGTATATATTGATGATGAGACAACATAGATATATGAAAAGACAAATTTTGTTTGTTTGTTTGTTCATGGCGTTTTTTTTTTCTTTTGTAATTTAATATATATGCATGCCTTGTCTATGTGCGTTGTTCTGTATTCATAATAGCACATCATTATCTATATGACACCTATGACAAGGCTAAGTGTGGCATACACAATCTGATACATTTTTACAATGATCTTTTCCCGTCTCTTTCAATAAGCTTATCTTTCAGTAATTAGAATTATTTTTTAGTCTGATTAGTAAATTCCGATATTTATTCGTAACTTTAGGACTATTGAAAATAGATAAACGAATAAGACGCTACTCAACAGTTGTGGAAAGGTAGCATAAAAAGAAATTAAGAGATGATCACTAATCAACAAAACGAAGAAAAAAAAAGAATATATGACGTGACAGATAATAGTGAATGTCACTATTTTTTCTATTAGTATTGTGGAGGCGAAGCAAAAAAATCATGAGCAATTAGTTCAATATATATATATGGCTTTCTTGATTAGGCCTTACTCTTTTTTTTTTCGATATAAATGTCAAAAAAATCAAATCGTGCATATAAATGTAACATGAACAATCATAGTCACCCAGAACATTCATCATGGTTTCAAATTTCTATCTGCTCTTTATGATCGGTAAGTATTCTTCTTCTTTTACTAGTACAATAATCATTGTTCAATATAAATTATGGGAATTCACCCTTGGATGACAGACTTATTTTTATAAAAAAAAATAGAATAAATCACTTTATCGTTAACCTGTCATATTTCGAACATTATTGTCGATCATAATTCTTGTATTTAAAACTTTATAATAGAATAGATTGCTACTATTAATGTCATAACACAACTAGTATTAAAATAGATTGTTTTACACTATTGTAATCTTGCCGTCTATTTCGATTTTGAAAAAAGTACTCCATGAGTTTTATTGTCATGAGATTAATTTAAAAAAAATCAATGAAACCGATTTCTTTTTATATCTAGCATCATTTCTTCTTGTAACAAATGCTCGTGAACCGATTTCTGTTGATGATTTTAATTTACTCGCACGAGATCTTAATACAAATAATGAGGACGAACGTATTGGTATGAGCGACTCGAGCTTTTTCAAAAAACGAGCCGGTCATTTCATATTTTCCCCATTAGCTTTCGTTTCTCCATCGATTCGTTCATATGAAACTAATGGTCAACCTCCATCTGATCGGCAATCATTTGGTCGAAAACATCATTGGGATACATACTTTGGTCGACGTCGATAAGAACATGCCTCAATTTTGTTCTTTCCTTTTTTGTTCTTTAATTGATGATTAAGATTTTAAATGTAAACATTAATACTCATTCTTCTATATTCATTAAAATAAAGAAAATTTATGAGTATGCAAAAGTTCTTCTATCCACTAAACAAATCTGCAGTTATTATTTTAATTATTATTATTATTATTATTTCGTTTTAGATTATCAATATTTTCTTTATGTCTGTTTATTCATTTTGTCGCTGTTGAAGACAACGATGCATATAGTTCAAACTATCAGCAAATATTTTAATTGTTTGATAATTGCATGCAAGACATGCATAATAAATTTTCGATATGAGATCGACACTGATTGAATGTAAAAACTGGTCGAGTTCAGATAAATTTGAGCGTAGAATTTCCTTTAACACACGTGTATTTATTTGAAAGGTTGCTGCCGGATTATGAATTATTGTTAAAAGTTGTTCAAGATTATCGATTGCACAACGATTTAATTCATGTTCAAACGACGATGGTATTTGATCATTTATTAATTGAGCATAATAAAGAAATAAGCGTGCATTATATATTTGTGATGCATTTAATAAACGAATGATATTCATTTCATGCATACCTGCATGAGAAAAATAAAATGCACTTGAAAATGATTATCTGAATTGAATAGATTATCAGTATATTAATTCTTACCTGTAATACGAATATCATCGATAAATAATAAAGATTTATTCGTCAACGGTTGACAATCAATAGAATAACGTTCATCAATTAATCGGTCGAAACGTTCGCCTCTTGACAGAGATGAATAATCTTCTGCAATAGTCCCAATACGTTGTATTGTATGTTCTAATGCTGGTGGCCGTCCATTTGATTGTAAAAAATGATTTAATTTTTCTAGGAATGTTTGAAATATATAGTAAGCTGCTGGTGGTACTATACTACGCGGTGACGATATAGCCATGAATTGTTGATTTGATGAAAGAATAAAATCATGATATTTTTCTAAAAAACCTGTACATAGTTCTTGCCCGAATTGTTTTGCTTGATTACTATCACCGTATTTATACCTTGAATATGCGTAACGATCAAATGATAACTTTTTGGAATTATTGATCAAGTGAAGAGCAAAACGTTGTTCGTCATTGACCATCATCATAATTGTTTCCTGTGGTGTTTCAATCATTCCGAGACACGATATATCGAGACAAATGCTATTTTATGATTGCTAACACAGAAACATAGAGAGAAGAAGAAAAAGAAGAAGAAAATAACGATGATGATGATGTTTATGATTAGATTTCTTTAACTTTTTTTTTATTTCTCTCAGTCAGACTGAAAGCTCTCGTGCTTTTTATATCGTGCTAATGCAAGCATTAGTGCAAACCTGCATGAACAATTTGTTGATCATTACCTTTCTTTTACAGTTTAATGTCGATACAGTTCAAGACAATTGATTCTACGTATGCATATATATATATATATATATATATTCGTAGAAAATCGAATTTTTACTTATATTCTGGCAAGGAAAAAAATGGAAATGGCAGTTAATGTCGTTTGTTTTTCTATTTCCTGTTATCAAGAAAATCACAGTATATATATTTAGTATTTTTCCCTTTTTTCTTCTTCTCTCTTCTTGCTATATGCTTTTGTTTTCAATTTAACTCTCGCTTGATTGAGCAGCAATCTTATGAGCTTTCAAGCAGTAAAGAAAAAAAAGTATTTTCTTTATTGAAGCAAAACAACAAAAGTAGAATAAATAGTTCGTGACACGAAGAAAAATTTCCGCACACTAACAAGAAAGCATTTGTGGCATATACACATGCAATTGTTTACGGTCTGGTATTTTGGGCATCGGCGGTGAAATCATTGTCGTCAGTGTTGTTGTTGTTGTTGCTGCTGTTGTTTTTATTGTTGATGCTGGTGATGGCATCATTGTTTTATTATCTGTTTCGTATAGAAAATCAATAGGTGATGTACGATGCATCACTTCTGGAGGCACCGATGGTTTCCGTCCCAAATGTTGAATACGTAATGATGGTGATGATGTGTAACTTGATTTTGTATGACTACTTCCTATTCGAGCGCTATGATTAGTATGGAGACGATGTTTTTGAATATTCGGTAAATTTTGTGGATGAAAAAATCCACTTATTGGTGTTGCTGTCATATGATCAATGATAAATGAATTAGCTAAAATGATCATTTCATCATTGGCTATATCACGATCAGATGATGCTGAACAACGTGAATCTGTTCGTACAAGTGATCGATAGACGTCAACACCGTGACGTTTATGTTTTTTTCGATGTGCACTTTTTCGACGATTTTCTGATGTTGTTACTGGAGTCGAAGAATTTTTTATTTCATGCGATGTATTAAATGATTGAGGTATAAGTACAAAATTTGATGGACTACTTTTATTTAACATAAATGAACGTAGATCCCGATAGGACATGGGTGGTGGTGATGGAGAAAAAAGATTATTTCTTTTTACATTAATATTTGCATCGTATTCCTGATGCAGTAACGGAGTATTATCATATATATCAATACGATTTGTTGATCGTCGTGCAGCAAGCATCATATTTATCTATAACAATATAGAAATAATGAATATTTATTTTACTTTGCTGAACGAACACAAAGAAAACACAGGATAGATACTCTAACATTTGTTCTATAAATTTGTAATTGACACATGACGACATCCTATTCAGATTGCGTTTTTTTTTCTAGGTAAAATAAGCTTAACAAATTGCCGAACTCAATAAAAACTATTCAAGTCGAAGATGCTTTTATACGAAAATTTTTAACGTGTTTACTTGCCCATTATTTTCCGTGCTGGCAAAGTAAATAGAATGATGCTCTGATTCAATTCTAAAGTCGTGAAATGATGAAAGCCACAAAAGTATCTAGTCGAAATTTTATTTGGTTAGTAACCTGTGATTGTGACATGAAAGTTACGAAAGTTTACTGAACTTCGGTCGAATTTGGCCCCAGTCGAGAAAAACAAAGAATCAGTATAGAAATTATGAATTGTTTGTTACACATTGAAGACATTGAAATGAAAACACTAATAAATTCTATTGCGCCGAAAAACATCATACGACTTGTATTTGAAAAATAACAGTTGAATTACTCGGAACGTGAATGAGCTTTAAAATCCACGACAGAAAACTTTTTCATCAAATTAAAAAATGCCTCGAAATAATATTAGGTTTTCTATTCTCCATTTTCTTTTTTCAAGACAGTGAAAAAAAAGGCGCACTCTCTATATCAATAAACATGTTAAATTATGTTATACGTTACTTATTATTTAAAGTTGTTTGATTGCGTACGATTCGTAAATTAATTTTAGAAATCAAAAAAAAGAGAGAACATTATTCGTCCATGAAAAGGAAAAAAGTGAAACTTGCAAGTGGGACACTGACATGTTTTGAAGTGGTTGTTATTCCAAGCAACATAAAAAGCACAATGCAGCTGTCTTTTACATTAATAGACGGCATTCAATGACAAGAATCATTTGATAAATAAATTTTAAAAAAAACAGAAAAAAAGAAAGAATAATTAAAAACTTCTTTCTTTTTTTCTTCTTCTTTTATTTAAACAGAATCATACAATCGTCATAAATACAAAGGAAAAGACAAACAAAGTAGAGAGTTGTTTTTCCATTCTTTTTTTTTCTTTTAGCAAAGCATATGTGGATAAACACGTCGCATACGACCAATTCGAACACCTTTATTTGGACTAACTGTAAGAAGAGTACCAGCACGTAGGCCCGCATTGATTGTAAATATTGTACGATTACGTATAGCACTTTCCGATACATTGTTTGGAAATGAATAATATTTTAGTATGTGATCGATAATTTGTTGTGAACTAACACCTGACTTTTCTTTATCTAATTGACATATAGCTTCACGAACCATATTACCGAATGCATGACGAATAAGATGATAGATTGGTACTTGATTTTTGTTTGAGTTTGGATTAAATTTTGGTACAAATTGAACAGCACATGTTTCCGTACTATCTTTCATTGGCATACGAGAATGTTTTGATTGAGATTTCCCTTTTGATTGAGATTTCCCTTTTGATTTTGTACTTGATTTAGTCATGTCAGTCTTCATAGTGGTTAATTGAGTTTTAGTGCCACTTTTGCTTCTGATCGGGGTCGATTTCATTGTTGAATGAATAGTTGAAGTCGCCGCCTGTAATAGTATATATATATTCAAACTAGTATATCTTTATTTTTTCTCTTAGCATAATAAATTTGACCTTTTTCGTGGAACTCGATTTTGCTTTTGTAATTTTATTCGTTGCCTTGTGCGACTTCGAAGCAACTAAAATAAGTATTTTTAGATTTAATTTCAATAGTCATATAAAAATTTTACCCATAGAACGAACACTTGAATGACTACCAGGAGCTTGTTGACTTTGACTGTGTACTTTTGATTTCGATACAGTACCTGATTTTGTATGCATACCTAGTAGAATTCAAAAAAAGTAATCGATCTATTCGGACAACTTTAAAACTAAACAATACTAGATGGTGATATAAGAGCCGACGTAAAGCCCTATGATGAATACATTGAAAAATTGTTATTTTTTAATAACAAAAAATCTATGTAGTCTACTTCTAAATCAGTTTTCGATCCAGCTTCTGATGTTGAACTTTTCACTTTTGTATGTTTACCTTTAATTATTACCGAAATCTATAATGTTCTATATTCATATAGAAATACAAACCACTTGTATGTGAGGTCGAACGAATCGCGCTTGTACCATCAAGTTTCAACGATGAATTTGAAGCAGTTTTTGATGTATGATGTCGTTTACTCTTTGATGCCTTATTACGCGTTGACTAAAGCAAAAAGAAATGGCGGATTAAGAATCTATTAATTTATGAACATACTGATTTTGAAGTAGATCGTTTTGTTGTTCCAGATTTTGAAGACTTCGATTTTGATTTATGTTTACCATCAAGACACAAGTAAAAGAAAGCAATATTTTCATTGATTAAATTGAAATCATTATTACCTGTTTTCGCGCTTGATCGAAGGCCAGTTGCACTAGTTGTTTTAATGGATTTCTTACTATTTGCTGTCGATTTACTATCTTCAGCCTTGAAATAAAATCAATTCAAGCAATACAAAAGAAACAAGAGCAAAACGCTAACCGGTGTTGTAGAATGTGAATGAGTGTTGGCCTTCGATTTTTCTGTCTAGACAAGAAGAAGAAGAAGAAAGTTAAAGTCTAGTAAAAATACTACTGAAGTATATGAAGTCACAGACTTTATGTGATTTAGATGATTTAGTATGTGATTTCAATTTGTTCTTCTGACTTAATGTTCCACTTTTAGTTTTTTTCGATAGAGTACCACTTGGTGAAGGTGGTCGTTTACTTGATTTACTTGATGAACGTATACCACCATTTAAACTAGATCTACTTTCTGTCGAATGAATGCCACTACTAATATCGGATGACTTAGTTAAATTAGCCGCTTGTTTAATAAGATCTTGGCAAAAACGTAATTTTTCTTCTTTTGTCATCCGTTCAAATTTTGCGGTACCATTTGTCATATCGTGAGTCATTGATGTTTAATGAATTATGAGAGACGCAACGAAAAAGCAAATAAAATAGATAACGAAACAGTCGCGATAAAAGAAAAACACTTGGACACAGGAAATGAAATGAAGTAGAGAAAAACAAATCGAATTCGATGTTTTATACAAAAGATAAATTGTTATTAACGAAACGCGCCAGTTATATATTATTTCTTGTGGCGCCATTTATTTGATATTTTACTAACTAAAGTATTCAGCAAAAACTTAATTAACAACGAAAAATAATTTATATGAAATTAAAATTCGTTTGTAGGCTTTGAACACTCGATCGATGGAACCGACGATTGAAGTTTTCTACGAGATACTCTTGTACCACATACATCATTTTCTATGTAGAAAAAAAAATAAATATATATGTATAATTGAGAAAAGAAAGTAAATGATTCTAAATACCACTAGCTTTTTGTACAGCTAAATGATCTTCTCCTTTTGCATCGTCAACTATAATAGATATTACAGTTGAAAACAATTTTATCATGAAACATTTCTCACTATGATTGACTGGAGCTGATGTACCCATATTATTTGTTACAGATGATCGACGTTTACGTGTACGAGTGAGAATAACTGAAATAAAATAGAAAATATTATGGATACTATGATTCAAATTAGATTTTTCTATCAACCAGGATTCGGTTGTTCTTTATTGTTATTTAAATTATTTAGTTTAGAACTTCTTGTACATATTGTTCGTGTTATTATATTCGGTACACTCTTGTTTTCATTTTCTATTATTGGATTTGTAGTTTGTTTCTTCTTATGATGTTTGATTGCTGTCGACGATGGAAAGTGATCATTTAATATATTAGTATTTTTGATTTGCTTTTTTATTATTATATCCAATGGATTATCATTTGTTGTTATAGCATTCTTTACACTGGAATCATGATCATCTGTACCTGCAGTACGATATTGTCGTTGAGTGTGACAATCGAATGTATGTAAATCATTTAAAACTTGTTCAAAACTAGTTTTTGATGAAGACAATGGCAGATCGTGAATAGAATTTGTATGCGAAGCATAAGAAATAAGTAGTTGTTGTTTTAAACGATCACGTTCTGTTCCTGTTAGTTTATTAATAATTGAATTGCCAATGGATTCCAAACAAGAAATTATATTATCTATTTAAATCGAATTAAATTCTTAGTAAAATTATATGAAAACGATAGCGTGCATACTCTCTTCTTGATTGCATGCATTCGTATTCAATTGGATTGATTGTTCGGTTCCAATGGTTGATGATGGATTTGTTTTCTTTTTGTTAGATTGAACTTTTTGTGATCGACAAGGCATAATGAAGATACAAGAAAATTACTGTAACTAAAATGAATTAGCAATGAAAATAAATTTCTTGTCGCTATAGATATTTTTTCTTTTTTGTGTATCAACATGAAATTTAAAAAAGCAACACACACACATAAATTCTTTTATTGATTAATAGATCGACAGTAATTGTTTCAGTATGAGTTTGTTACGTGCATTATTTTCTCTAAAAGCATGTCAAAATATTCATATTCATAGTGTAAATATCACGTAGAATTCTATTTATTAATATGACACGTATTAGATATTTTAAAAAAAAGAAATTATCTTGTCTAATCAATCACAAGAACAAAAATATACTCTTGCTATGCTCGTGCGAGCATTATTTTTGATGGATAATATACTAATCTTAATTCAACGTAAGTTAATTGATGAGAACAGAGAAAATGAACTCTTCTTTTTCATAATTATTAGTCAACGATGGATATGTGAGCACTTATGCAGATCAACATTATGGACGAATTCGAGGAAAAAATCCAGTAACCGGTGTCGATCCAGCTATTATTTTTCTTATTGTATTTGGTTGTCTAGTCGGAGGATTTTTTATTATTTGTATATTTGGTACACTTATTTTAGGTATTTTTGATAATGGAACTCGATGCACACGAAGATCATTGCGAAATAGGGAACTCAATAATTTATCGCCATTGTAATAAACGTCACTGAGAGAGAACAATTGAGAAAAAAAGAAGAAGATTAATTTGTACGATTTCTAATTGTTTGTTGTTGTTATCATGTAGTTCGCATTGAAAAATTCAGAATAAAGTTTTTAATTCAATTTCAATTTTGTTCTATACCATTATTTTGCTTTGCAATAAAAAAAAAGTTTTTATGTCCTACAAAATTTTAAATTTCCTTGAAAAGTTCTCTCTCGTTATCTTTTGAATTAAATGTTACGAAAATAACTGACATAAAGAAAGATACCCTTGAAGAATTTCTACACTTAAATACAACAAAAGATCTATAGTCGTTCATTACGGGAAAGCGAGTGATTATGAATCTGAAAAATAATAATATAATTGTAAGTTATTCGGTTACTTGAATGAATGACTATTGATTTAATAAATTATCTCACTGCTTACATTATTCTATCAACAAACCAATCAATCCAAATAGAACAAAAGCATTTTCAATAAAAAAAAAAAAATTATGTCATAGATACAATTTGAAATTTTATTCACAACACAAGAGTGAAAATCTATAATAGAACATTCGGCTCTCTTTCTGATGTCTATTACATTACACATTGTTTGTGTTTTATCTTAATTATAAATAAAAGACTCGATTGCTTGTATCAATTAGTGTATTCCTATTTGTTACCGCTTCTTCAGTTGTAACATGGCTTGTAAACTAATTAGAATATCCAAAACAACCACAGCTCTATAAATAGAGAGAGACATTCACTTCGAGTAAATATTATTTTCATATCTTCACAATCGAATCTTATTTTCTATTGCTTAATCCACTTCGCTTAGTTATTTATTTCCACCATGATGAGTTTTAACAATTCAACATTTCTTCCATTGGTATGCTATTGATATTGAATATAATTTATATTTTTTTACGCTGATAATACTGTTTAGTTTCCTTCATCAATGCATTCATTCTGTAATTGTTGTCCATCACCTTCATTATTTTCTAATTTTCCATCTGTAGTAAGTCATTCATTTACATTTTTAATTATATTTATAATTATGTATTGTAGCTTCAATCATCATTTATGTCAGATGTACCTTTAGTTTTTGCACCAAGTCCTGTACCATCAATGGTAAATTATACAATGATAAATATATTATATTAACTAGTCTATTTAGATTCCATCATCTCCAACAACATCATCATCATCATCATCATCAAATTCTAATAAACGTTCATCGATTATTTTACCATTACGTTCAGTTTCATTTGATTTATCGTCATTAGTTGTAACTGCTCGTTGGCGTCGTGAACAACTAGGTGAATATATTGAATGTGCATTTTGTAAAGCGAACGGCGAATCCTATGATATTTATTCGTCGCATCGTCTTCGTGATAATGAAAAAATGATAACATTGTGTCCAATACTTCGTGCTCATAAATGTCCACGTTGTCAAGTATCAGGTGATCAAGCACATACAATGAAATATTGTCCTATTAAAGCTGAAATAAAAGCTAACCGACGTATGCGTGAAATTGAATTAGCTATGAAGAAAAATTAACTTTCTTGTTGTTGTTTATTTGAAATTGTAAATAATTTTCTATTATATTTATTCAAGATAATATATACACATATTTTTCTGTTAGTTATTTGTATTTCATTATATTAATAAATTTTGAAGCTAAATAGGATGAAAGTTAAAAGAACTCTTCTTTTTTTTTCTTCTTCAAATGATTTCAATATGTATTTAGGAACATGATTGTTTTCAAGTATTGTTAAGCGCTGATAGTATATATTAAATAATAAGGATCTTATATTTTATTTTGTTAAAATACGATGAATTAACTATGACATAAAACTAATTTATATTTTTTTCAAGCAAACAAACAAATCTAATATTATTTTTATTATTATTAATTCGTCCATGCAAAAAAAAACACAATTGTTCATATTGACTAGTAAGAAAAATATATCAGATGACAGCAATTATTGCTGATCAAGTTTGTTTCTGTCAAGTGTGTACATGTGTAATACATTGACCTATCAAGACGATGAACGACGTCTCGTTTTTTTATATGTTTTTTCAAGATAATCAATAAAAGCTCTTGTAATTGGTGTATATGTACCCAAATGTGTTGATGAATGTTTTAAATCTGTACTATGAAAAAAGTAAGGTATTGAAACAAAAGTTATCTGTAAATTTTCATCATCAACTAATTGATGATTCGATTGTAGATACCATTTTTCTGCTGAAGCATCGTATTCTAAACCAGCATAGGATATAAACATGCCATTATTTATATTCATTAAACCACGATTTAATACTCTATTAAGTGCTGTACCATTAATATGTATTGTGATAAGATTTGCTGCAAATGGTAAACAACGTAATATGTCATATTGAGTTATTGTACCTGTTAATTGATCATCAATACGAATAGCACCTGCATTAAATACGCATATTGTTGTATTAGTTACAGCCATCATAGAATAACATAATGCTCGTGTTAAATACGTTTGTTGAGAACGTATTATTGCTGAGCGACCATCTAAATTAAAGCCAGATGGTAAAGTACATACTTCACGTTCAGGTATATAACCTAATTTAGAGAGAAAACTAGAATTAATTTTTATACATTTGTTTTTCATTACCTTGATCTCGATATGCTTGTAAACCGGCTTGATAGTAATAATCAGCAATTTCAGCTGTGTGGGGTTCCTCAGAAAATTTTTCTGATACTTGTGCAAGTTTAGAATAGATTAATAATTGTTTTGTTGTTGGTTGATAGGCGAAACGATGAATGAATACTGAAAATGCATTACCATCTGCTTTATATATAGGAGTATACTTTGATCCACGTTTTAAATAATAGTTTTCATGTTCATGTCCACCTAGTAGTACATGAATATCTGGATTTTGTTCTATTATATCAATATCATTTTGTAGATTAAGATGCGTTAACGCAATAAGTATATCCCATTGTAATTTTAATTCATCACGAAGATGTTTTATATATTGTGTGGTAAAGTGTGGTAATGTTCGTTGTGATGTTATATGAACATAAGCTGGAGCTGATGATGGTCCAAGATTATCATCTATAGTTAAACCAATAAGAAGTATTTTAACATTTGCGATTGTTAGAATTTTATATGGTGCTATATTATGAAATGGTTTCGTTGTATTCAGCTCATAAACATTTGATCCTATCCATTCGAATTTTGATTCATCTAAACGACGTCGTAATGATATTTCTTTTAAATCAAATTCATGATTTCCTAATGTAGCATAATTAAGACCAAGAACGTTTAATGTACCAATCATTTGCCGTCCACTTAACATCGATCCGTTAACAACACTATTACCTTGAAAACAAAACAATAGTGTTGAACTTCGTATGAAATCTTTTTTTTTCGTGAAGAAAGAACCTTGTATATTAAGAATTTAGTAAAATTAATGCTTCAATAAAACTATCAAATATGAGACTAGAATCAAATATTTTTTAATAAGGGATGCCATAAAATTTAATGGCCGAAACCAATAAAAAGTCAAACGGCAATGATGTGCATACTTTACACTGATAATGATGATGGTGGTGGCGGTGATGGTGAAAATAAAACTCTTTTTTTTTTAAAAATTTACATAGACAAAGTTCTTTTATGTTGTTGACAAAGAATAATTTTATTAAGCAAATTAACAGCGAACAGATAAGTGTTGTTTGTTTTTTTGCTTTTTCCTACCTAATGCAGATGGACTAACAACATCGCCCGATACAACAGTAATTGTGTTTGGATTTTCTTGAAGAAGTAATTTTCTTATTGTTGCTACACGAGCCATACCACCTTTGGTACCACCACCTAGTGGTTTTAGTTCGTAAACATCATTCATTTGTAGAAATGTCCATTGAACATAGGAATGTGCATTATTTAATAGAGGAGGTGAACCGATGTCATCGGCATGTGGCATTGCTCGTAGGGGAGCATGAACAACTGACGCGACTGTATTATGACTTTTCGATGAAGCTGATGATGCTTCATAATCTCCTATATCAATTCCACGAAACCAACCGAAAACAGCAAGAATAACAGCAATAGAACAAAGAGATATTAAGAAAGTAACTTGACAAACATTTAATTCGACTTTACTTTTGCACCCCATTATGATAAATGTATAATTTGGCAATTTATAATTTAAATCTTTGATCAAATAGATATCAATATTGACGCCAGGATTCGAATAATATTTTTTTCCTCCTTTAGTATTTTCTTTCTTATCGTAATTTTGATCAACGAGTAACAGTTTTTGGTTTATCAATAAATATTTATAAAAGTTGGCAGCAATATAATCAATAAAATTAATATATAACGATGTTGTTTGGATGCACTTTCTTTTTTCTTTTCTTGATGAAATAGTCGTAAGAAGTGTCAATTCTGATATATTCGAAGGCTTTGAATTCTCTAAATAAAATAACCATATTGGCCGTGTGTATTTAAGATGTCAAAATCAATCGACTTTCATTAGTTTTTCTTTTTGGTTGATCATATACATACACAAATGTATATATTTATTTCATGCCGCTTAGTAAAAAACGAGACGTATGGCGGCGAACTGGCAAGCATTACTCTCGTTTTTTATCTAATACTTACATGAAAACTTGACAAAAAAAATCGAATAGAACAAAAGAGTCGAAAGAGAACGAAACACAATTTTATTTTCTTTTTGTTTGTCGTTGTCAAATGAATAAATAGATCTTTTCCGTTTTTTTATTGATCGACTTGTCAAAAAGGAAAGAAAAACATGAAAAAAAATTTTACTTATGGTTCCAACGTCTTCGAGTGTCAGCGTTTCGTCAAATGAGCTGTCTCTATCTATGGTTTCCGTGTACACAGATATATTTATATACAAGTATGTATATGTATGTATCGAGAGAAGGAGCGTAAGACAACGAGAAGAGAGAGAGAGAAAGAGAGAGAGAGAGAGAGGAAAAAGGAAGAGCGATGTTAAATGGCAAGAAGTTGATGCATTCGACATTTAGCCATCGTGTCAGAAAAGTATCCCTAGTGGGCTATTGATCTCAATCATTCAGAACCGTTCCATTAAGTAAAGCAGGCGATTCAAGAGTGGAATCAGAATGTTTATGACATATGCAATAGAAATGCAGAAGCAACCGACTATTCATAACAATATAAGTCATTTATTTCTATCGATGAAATAAACTTCATTAATATTTTGAAGACTTCACTTAACCGGTTGTCATGAACTTTTCATTATGATTTCATTCTTTGCATTAACTATACAATAATCTCTTAAGACTTGGCTAACATAATTTAATATTCACATCTGTTGAAATATCGAATAACCTCCGCTCTGAGTATAAAGTAAATATGACAGCAACAAAAATTTAATGATTCAAAACGTGAAGGATGAAAAATATGCAATGTATAATTCTTCCTTGACTAATAAATAAGAGGAAAAAAATCAAAAATGATTGCGTGCAAAAAATATTAATTAACATTTCAATGAATTTTAAAACAAAATACCTAAATATAGACCTTCCAAATAGATTATATCATGCTTAGCTTCCCATACACTACTACTGGATCATCAACTTCGATGGTTGCAAAGGAAAATATAAAATGCCATTTATCTATGTATCATTAGTACTGATGTTGGAGATAATATCAACGAAACTTTTTTTCGTATATACTGTCGTTCTGACTGTTGAAGAATTACATATGCTGAATTCACTATAATTAACCACAGCATCTATTAGTAACGTCAATCAAACTTTACATCCTGACCATTTCAGTCGCTTACATAACCCACAAATAATGCTTTCTGAAACCTTAACAAATAGAAAGGAAGTTTTTTTTTCGATTTCGTTGACTTTTGATAAATGATACTATTTCAATATTGAACTATGTATTCGTTCTGTTTTACAGATACTGAATCGAAAAGTTAACTCAATTGAAATTTTTTTTTTTATCAAGCAATATTATTATTCTAGAACAATATAATAATGAAACGAGCAAAACCACTGTCTGGCTTTATAAGTTTTATTTGAAGATAGAGTAGCGTGAAGAGAGATTGATAGACTTATTGAAGTAAGATCATATGTAATATGATCATCGGATAACAATGGTTCAGACTAATGATGCCGTCATACATCAAGATCTTTCCTCTGATGAGGATCGAAAAAGCATATTTAACATTGACTTGAAGCAGATGAAAAACAAAGTAATTATCATGTGTTTTACAGAACAAAAACGGCAAAATACAGAGATTCCAGCCTAAGAAAAAATATTTCAAGAAGCACTTAAAGTCGTATGTTTATCATCTAAAAAGTGTTATCATCATTGAGAATAAAGAAAAGTCGTTGGTATCAGTTTCAAACAAATGAAACTCGAAAAGATAAAAGCATTTCAAATCATTTTATAAATAAAAACAACAAGAAACATCTCTCGTTTAAAAATGGATCCATTTTTGAGTATAGAAGAACTTGCCCGAGAATTCGATACACCGAATTTAACTGATTGGAAATTATTTGCACAAAATTCATCTTTAAGTTGTTATCGACGAACAAATCAAGTTTGTTTTCATTTCCAACACCTTCAAGTATAAAAATATAACTATGATTGTGCTCCTTTTGTTTTTGATTTTCAGAAATTATTTTATTACAAATTTTTCCACCATCTTCCTGATATATCGCCAGATGTTCTACATAATGTCGTACTCGATGTTGAATATCGAGTCGTTTGGGATAAATACCTTAAAGGTAATTATTATCTTCATACTGCATTTTTATCTACAAGATCTATTCTAGAAGGAAGAAAGATTAATGATGGAGATAAAAATGGCATTTATTGGTTATTGTCTATGCCATTATTCATGAGCAATAGAGATGTATGTCTTTGTCTTTTTGAATTCATGTTGTTCATAGTAAATTTTCTTTTTAATTCTATCTTCTAGTATACATTTGTACAAGAAAAAGGTGAATATGATATTGGTGATCGACATTTTTACTATGCTTCAACACACTGTGAAGAATTTAAAAATGAATTACCCAGAAAAAAAATTATTCGAATCGAAAATTGTCAATCACAAACAATAATTTGTACAGATGGTGCCGAAGGTTCGAAAGGTATATTTAAATTTTACAAGAAAACGTTAAATATTGTTTATGAACTCTTCTATTTACTTTTCATTTAGCGGTAATCTTGTATTCTGAAGATCCACGTGGTAGTTTTCCTAAAGCAGCTTGGAGTTGGGCTGCAAAAGTTCGTATAAAATTAATTTCTAGGAATAAAAACTTTCTATCGATGAAATCTATATTCTAGTTTGGAATTCCATTATATGCGAAATTAACACATAATGCTTGTAAGACATATCCACAATGGATTAAAGATAAAAAAATAATAGTACCAAATGTGATTGAAGATGATGCTGATAGTGCGGCAGAAGAAACAGCTGCTGCTGCTGCTGCTGCTGCTATGATATCACCAGAAGATAGTGTCGCTGATAATGATGACTGTCACAACTAACAAGAACAAGAACAAGACAAGGAATGATTTAGTTTTATTTGATGTTCTTCTTTCTTTTATGCTCGTATTTCAAAAATATAATTCTGCATCTATGGTAATTGTATGATCGATAAATAGATAGATTTAGAAAATATCTAGTAATTAATTAATATGAATCATAATAAAATTGAAAATATCAGCGAAATAATCATTTATAAAAATGTTCGTAAGAAGACTAAAATTTAATTTCATATTCTAACTTATCCTATCGTAGAATATTTTCTTTTATATGTTGTTTTTGTTGGATTTGAAATGTCCAATGTAAGAGTTTTAAAAAAACTCTTCTCAAGTTCTACTGATGGAAAGATTTGTTTTATAGTTATAAATTGAAATAGCAAAGCAAAACTTTTGCTTTACCTATTACATAAATATAATGAATTCTAAATTCTCCAAGATTGAATAGATCGAGTAGTTGAATATATGTCATTCAATTTCTTTTTCTTCGTGTCAATAAAATATAGTTTATAAGCTGATGAACTAATAATAACCGATACGACTTCCATTAATAGAATTATTAATGGACGAATCAAGTTTACATCTGTGAAATGGTAGAAAGTTCTATATACATAATTATCCAATTGCAACACTAATCTACAAATAATATTTAAATAAATTAAGAAATTGAGAATGTTTAATAAGAAAATAAAATATTGGGATTGCCCTCTATTCGGTTCCAATCGGTCCTTTCTTATATCGATCCCATTCAAACATGTCTTATTTGGATCTTATAACAATCAGGACATAAATAATGATGTCTCACTTAGATCCCAACTTAATAATTAATAGTGATATATAATTTTATTTTATGCATTTGAATAATCATCATGTATACAATGAACAAGACTAATACCAGAGAGAAAATAACATACCAGAAATGAAGACACTACTTTAGACACGAAGAAGAAAAAAATGTTCTATTTTACCAACTTTGTTTTTACTGTTTTTCCACATAAGATTGCCAGCGCTAAATCCGTAACTTCACCCGTATTACGATCATTAAGAAGAATACGAAGTTGAACATTAATATCTTCCGTCATTTGTTTTATTTTTTTGTATGGACTGTTGCCTGTTCAGCAAGAAGATGTTGATAAACCTGCTCGTCTCTTAGGCGTTCAATCAATCGATATAAATGTGGACGAACAGGAAATAAAGATCCTAGTCGGCCATTGTAGCCCTCAACATGATTGTTTGTTCGAGGTAAATTCTTCAGTAAAGCATCGTTAACGTTCCATAATTCGATAGGATAACGAGACGCGGTAATATCAACATAAGTTGAAACCATGTAATCGTTGTTCGTTTAAACTTTTGTATGTTTACTTTGACAACTGTAGTCTTATTCGATTTAGTCAAATCATTATATGTATTTAGCCGAACAAACAACAAATTTTTCTATTTGATTTAACTTTACGTTTTTGTCTTCGCTAGTGAAAACATCACGTGCGTAAGAGAGAGGGACCGAAATGAGAAAGGACCGATCGGGACCGAATCGAGGTGGCCCCAAAATATTGATATGTGAAAGCTAATTAGATTTTGAATCATCCGACAGTGATATATTTTAACAAACAGTAAAAATTATTTTAAAACATTCATCATAACGATAACGAAAGTATATTTTTCTCGCAAAAAGTGTATGGAAAAGAAGAAATATTTTTGTTAGTAAATATCAATCAAAATTCTTCTTCTTGAGGTCATACTTAATTTTTATTATATAATGAAGAATAAACTTTGTTTTATGTTATTCAAACATCAGAATTAAATACAGCAAAGAAAAACGCTAAACTTTTGATCGTTATAGAAAACGATTGAATCATATATTTATTTGATTAACAAAGTATTTGCCTCGAGTCTACTATTTGACGACCACCAACCACGAGAGAACAATACATTCGCAATACCGCCTCTCCTCTTAAAAGTTAATATCGAGAAAAACAAAAAATATATAATCGTACTTTTGATCTTCATTGGTATAGAAGAAGAAAAAAAGGAAAAATTGAATCCTTCTTATTGTTAAATAAACGAGGCGTGCTTAAGTGTAGTTTTCTGCTGTGCATCATTTTTATAATTTAATTCTCCTATGAAGCATAGGGTATGGATGCGTGCATTTCAGTCTATTCGAAGGTGAGAGGTTGACTAGACAACAACATACATTAGTAAAGAAGGTAATCTGATTGGCTTCGTCACGCATCTACTTTTCTACTCTTTATCAGCGTGGCATCAACAGTTTTTCAATTATGCTAAAACTAACGCTTCATTAGACAAGAAATGAACAACTGAGCTGTATTTTCATCACTAAATATTTAATCTTTCCATTTTGTTTTTTCACCATTTCTTCTGTTGACATGCATACTTATCATAATCAATTCATTCGATATTTATTTCTATTGTGAGTATCTAATGGCGTCATAATTAACTTTTCGGGTTAGTCTATTTACGGTTAATTGCCTTCTTCTTCTTTTTTTCAGTTCATCCTTGTCTTATAGCTCAAAAATAAAATTCGACGCCAACAAGAGCAACTCGAAAAACAACATGCATGTATTTATGTGTATATATATATCGACGAGCAATAGGAATAACAAGCTATAATTACATGCATGAAGAACATCACTTGACATCAACAAGAAAATCAGTGATAATTATATACATAGGAAATGTTGATGACACATCATTCTCATTTGATGAAAATTATCTATCTTTATTAAAACGATAGGAGTTTATTTTTATCTATTAAAAAGAAGAGTAGAAAAGGAGAGAGAGAGAGAGGGGGGGGAGGAGGGAACCGTCTATATAGATTTAAATGATTTCAATTTGTAAATTGATCATATTCATTGGTGCTCAATCAACATGGGCTAAATCTAAAAAAAAGCATGTTGTCTATCCATGGTTATATTCTCTCAATGTTCACTGGAGCACATATTTCAATTTGCTGTTCAATCTCTCTCGTTATATATCGATAGGTGAACATCGAAGAGTAAAAAGGGGAGTGAAAGTTGTCATCATGATACAGTCCATGATATGGTTTATATATATACATATATAAATGTGCTCATTCTCTCGCATCATTACCACCATTCAGACAAATTCGCCCTCGTGAAAGAAAAAGGTGTATATGAATATATGTTGTATAGTTACATACTCGAATTACTGACTGGTCTATGTTATTCTTGTTTTTCTTGTTCTTCTTCTTCTTCTTCTTATTCGAATATTCAATAGATCTAGGGGTTGAACTAGATTCATGCATTGAGTTACGCAGTGAACAAAATTAAAGTGAGATCAAACAGGAGATCTCCTGCTGTTACAGCTGCTTGCTAATTCGTTTTTCTAAAGAAGAAAAATCCTGACCGGTAATTGTTTAGTGTTTCACTATGTAGAGAAAAGGAAAATTATTCGGTGTCACTCTCATTTGATGACAAGAGATATGACAGGCTTTTGTTTTTCATTGTTATATTGATCATATTGTAACAAAACAAAAAAAAAACGAAGAAAAATATTAAAGTAACATATGAACAAAGTGTGCACTAATTGTTTGTTCATTTAGTGACGAACGTCTTTAAAAACATAAAAAGAAAAGTAGATCGATAAGTAGGTGGGGCGGATATGAGCGGAATTAATTGAAAAAAGAAAAACCGAATTTTCTACATGCACGTTAGCCACTTGATTAGACTTGAAGATTGCATGTTCACTTTCACACAACACAAGGTAGTCAGACAGGCAAAAGTCCGGCTAACTTTGTACCACTCACTGAGTTCAAAGAAGCTTTATGTCGATAAAAAGCCTATCGTCAATTTGTAATTTCCTCATTGATTTTAAAAGTTTATTTATAAATAATCACGAAATACATGAAAAACTACTAAGTCATGTTTTATCAAACAAAATTGTTTGTTATAGTTTTGTTCGTTTCATTTAATATTGAAAACCATCTGCACCACAGCATGCAACCATTGTTTGCTACTATATCTTTTTCTCCTCCTTCTTTTTCCGATTGGTTCAAGGAAATCTTTACCAACTGCAATACAACAAAAAAATGAAATCACTTATCTAAACAGAATAATTATCCTCTTTAATCATTACTTATTCAAGACAAACATCACTCGTCTCGACATATATTCAATACACATATATATATATATATATAATGTTTAAATGTTTCTTTTTTGTCGTCGGAAGAATGTATTGCACACACAAATTTCCCATCCGTTTGATGATCAATGTTGTTTCTCTTCGAGAGAAAGAATAAAAAAAACAACACGATGTATTTACACACATCTTAAATACACCTGATAATTGTCATCGACAGAATATGCTTGAGGGATGCCGCTATAATTAACATGAAACTAACACTGATCGTTGACACTAAATCTTTTGATAATGATGATAAAAACTGTATTAAACTTATTTTTATGTCAAATAATATCAGATATTCTATAGGACAAAAATTTACTTCATGACGAAGAAACAAGAAGTGAAAGAAAAAAGATCAAATTAAGAATGAAGAAGATTAACTAATGGTAATCATATATAGATGTATCTAGATCAAAGTATTTCTTGTCTATTAACGAAGCCATAGGTTTTTACCTATTGCCAAGTCAATTGAATTATCTGAGTAAGAAAATTCTTTATCCAGCTTTTCATTCCTTTTCTTTTTTTTTATCCATCATATCATCATCTCAATATTAATGCGATGAGTCCAAGCAGGATGACATTTGAGCTAATTGCATTTTTGCTACTGTTGTTCAGCGAGCCTTATCGAATCTCATTTAGCTTGATCTGAAAGCGAATGCGAGCGCGCCCATTTCACTTTCACAGAGAGGGATAAAGAGATACCCGACTTATTAATGTTAAATGACAGGCGTGCTCGTGATTCTGATTTCTTTTCATTTTTTTTTCTTCTCTTCCTTTTTTTTGCAAAAGCTTTCGTTGTCCCTCTGAGACACAGACAGATAGATCGATGTTCGCGCAATCGATAGGTGAAGAAGCGTGGGCACTCTCGTACAGAGTAAGTTGCTTCATCAAATCCGATTAGTGCACATTTCTCATTGGCATATGAAAGTGAAGAAAATACAGGCAGAGAGCAAGAGAAAAAAAGATAATATGTCCCTTCCCTATACATTATCAAATGACAGCATCACAACATAGTGAAATGAAGCAACTTGAGGTCCCCATGCGATACGCACAAGAGAGAAAGAGCAAAAGCTATTAATAGGCTAAGCTGGATGAATAAATGTATGAATGAATGAGTACGAATATAAACTGTAGCTATTCAAATTTGTCATTGCACATATACAGATGGTATGGGTGCAAATCGAATAAATCTAATTGATTCTAACTGATTGTTAAGTCGATAAAAAAAAAGAATAATATCTTTTCGTTGTATATTCAAGAACAGAAAAAATATCAATTTTACAATCTTTCCTCTGCCTCTTTGTGTCTTGAAGAGCGTGACAAAAAAATGAAGTCGGCAAATTGATTTAATTGAGCTCTGACATTCTTTTTTTTCTTTTACTTGTCGTCATCTCATCGATTATCACCTTAAGAAGCTAAGAGCATGCACATCAAGCCCATTTCCTGCTCCATTTGACCATGTCAGTTTTCATCTTTGTTTCGCTCTACTATTTTTATGTTATTCGCATATACATATATGGTTATTTTTCTTTCTTTCTCTTTTTCATTCATCCTTTTTAAAACTCAAAAAGGAAAGAAAAAAACAGAAACGAGAGACAACCAGCGTGCAATTGTCACTGATTGGCCGATTGAGAAACAATTATCGAACATAGAAGCATTTTTTCTATTGGTTCTTTTTGTCGATTGGCGAAAGATTAACGACAGAGAGAGCGAGACAGAGACAGAGAGAAAAGAGAGACACATATACACAGCAGGAAGATAATTGTATGAGAAGAAAGTAAAAAGAGTCTATGTGTGCTTGTGTGTAATTTCCGTTAGAAAAAAATCCACTCATAATAATTTATTATCTGACTGGTTATAAGACATAGAAAACTAAACGGTTATCAACTTTCTTTTTACAGCTACTAAAAGAAACTAATTCAGATCTCCCTATTCAATGGAAGAACAGGCAGTTTTACCTTTTCCTTCGACAACGAACAGTAGTACAAAAACAATTGTTGTCGAACAAGAACCAATTAGTCAAAAAAAATTAAGTTTTTCAATTGATAGCATTCTTGACAAACAACAGCAACAGCAACAGCAACAGCAACAACAGCAGCAGCAACAACAACCATTGTTCAATTGTAGTAATTTTAAAATCAAGCGTCATCATCATTCAACACCAATAGGTAAAATAATACAGAGAAATAAAAGCTAAATGATTAAAAATGTTCTTGTCTTAATTCAATGTAGGTAATCATTATCGATCATCAAATAAAAACGGCAACAATAATGATTCAGGTATACATTTATTATTAATCGATGGTAATAATAATAAACGAAAACACAGTGGATCTTTATCATCTGATGAACATTCATCATCACCAGCGGGAAATAAACATATTCGTTTAACGAATACCGACGATGATGATGGCAGTAGTAATTGTTCAGGTATATCAACAAGTGATGTTGACGATGATGATATTGGTAGTGGCTCAGAAGATAACGATACAAGTCATCAACATATAAATAATAATCGTAATAATAGATATTCACATACAAATGGAGGAATAAATCAACACGGTAGTAGTAGTCATGAATTACATGAAATAATGCATCGGAAAAAGAAGACGCGTACGGTTTTTTCTCGCACGCAAATATTTCAATTGGAAACAACATTTGATCGAAAACGATATTTATCAAGTGCTGATCGAGCAAATTTAGCACAAGGACTTCGACTTACTGAACAACAAGTTAAAGTAAGAAAAAAAAATATATATATGAATTATAAAGTTTAATTTTAATTTTTTTTCTCTCTCTCTTAGATTTGGTTTCAAAATCGGCGAAATAAGTACGTAATTGACATCTTTTATGTAAACAAACTTTTATTTGAATTTATTTATTTCTAGACTTAAACGTCAAATAGTTGAAGCAAGTCAATCGATGAGCTCAGCTGTTGCTTGCGCAGCATCTTTACAAGCACCACCCCCACCACCACCTCTTCCACCAACAACATCGTCATCCTCATCATCGAATAATTCAATGATTAAACGTCCACTACCCATGTCTATACCATTACCCAGTGATTTCTCTTCGGCATCATCGTCGTCCACATCTCCACTATCTATTTCATCGAAAAATCCACAACATCGTTTTGATGCAGCATCATTTCTTCATTCGAACTTTTATGAATTGGCTGCTGTTGCTGCTGCACACGCAGCCGCACAAGCAGCTGCTTTTCATAACAATACAAATAATAAATCATTAATGGCACAAAATAGTGTCATTGAACATTCTGAGCAAAATTCATCAGCAACAGCAAATTCTTATTCAACTTTTCAAGATTTTGCTAATGCTCTTGCAACTCAAGCGGCTGTTTGACTAATATATAACTAAACTCATTTTTCTCTTTCTCTTTTTCTTCTTCTGTATGTGTATGTGTATGCTGAACAAAAAAAAAATAAGAGCCTTTCCAAGTAATCGAAATGCTTTACACTATGTTATTTGATCCGATGCTTCCAGACGACAAGTGACAAGCATTCTAACCATTTAGAGCCAATCTGCATATGTGGACGAGAAAAAAAGAATACTTGTCAATGAAGATTTGATTTTGTCCTTGCTTGATATAGACGCCCATTTCTTATCATTTCAGAACAACTAGTCAATGAACGTGTGCTCAAATACAATAATCGAAGAGCAGAAGGTGATTAGTATTTGACGCCAATGATTGAGTCATCAGATGCATATGTGTATATATATAAAAGAAAGTCGAAGAACAACGACGCCTCAGGAAACAACAGTGAAATGCATCATTTAAATGGAAAAAATGTATATTTTGATTGTTTTTTGTTTAAAAAAAATGAACTGTTGAACAATAGGAGCATGAGTATATACACTGCGAGAGAGAGAGAGAGAGAAACGGGGGTTGAAAGGTAACAGAAAACTGCCAATTAACTCAAATTTTGAGTTCTCTTTAAATAAAATCAAAGAGAGAAATAAAGTTTTAGATATTTAGATGGTTCCATCGGAAGTTAGAGTTTTCTTTTTGATTAGTTACTAAATAGCTAACATGTTAAAAAGTTTCCATCAAACGAAAGATTTTTCATAATAGCTATAAAAGAAATTTGATATGAGATGTTTTAGAAATTTGATTCTTTCATATAAGAGTGAATTGGTCAAGTAGTTTAAAGGAAGATTGTTAGACAAATTCGATTTAGAAAATTATTTATTGATCAATGATTAAACGGAAAAAATTCATTTAAATTCAATTAGAAATTTGATGAACCATGTAAAACATTTTTGAATGAACTCAATATAAAAAGAGAGAAAATAAAGGAAGATTTCGATTTCCTCAAAGGAAAACAAATGAACGATAATTAAATAAGAATACATACAAAAACGTAACTAGTAATTTTATTTGATATCTAAAAAATGTTTCTAGATAATTGAAAAATTTCAATCAATATATTGTGTGAACAGCTAAAGTTTAATAAGATATACAGCAAAGCTTTCTTTAGATGATTATATAAAGTATTTCCAGAAGGTATATTCTTAATCAATCTTTGAAGTAATAGATCAAAAAGATTTGATTCTTCTTTTGATTAGTCAAACTATATTGGAAAGAACTCCCTAAAACATATGTTAATATCTTGAGGAACGTTGATGACGTAATGCATAGTATAGAAGTCAGATTATTATTCGTTATCTCTACCATTAGCTGATGAGGTATATATGCCTTCTATCAAGATATCAACACTACAATTCATATCAGCTAGCACAGTATCAAAATCTATTACATAACACAAACTAAGAATAATCCAGTTTGCATATTAAATCTCATCGAACTGTCTTTATAGGCCAAGTATGACTTACAAAAGAAAGTCTCATTATAAAATCACATTGGTTACTGTTTAAAATAGTTAACTAAAAAGAACAATTCAATTTTTTTTAAAATATCAAAGTTAAACAGAAGTAGCTTTGAAAAAGAACTGCTTTTGCTCGAGGCATATTAAATCAATGATTTTCTTTCCAATAGTTAGAATGCTAAAGGTTCGTTTGTTTTTAACTAACAGAGATATTTCTAGATAAATAGATTTCTTATTAAGTAATCGCTCGGAATCATTGAATTCTATGGTAGATTTTTTTCTATAAACATAGTTTTTATTGAACGTTTGACTAAATGATGCAAGCAGTGGCGGAGCCAGGATTTTGGGCTAGGGGGGGGGGGGGGGGGGGGGCCCCCGAAAAAAGTT